CACCACTGTCCCGATGCATCCAGTTAGCCTTGAGCTAGCCAGTTAGCCCATCTCCCAGCTATCTACCTATCTGTCAACTGGACGGGACCTCCTAGAGTCGACACGGAGCCCCGCCAATCCATCACGACTGGTCTGCAGACCTAATCGTCTAATGTGGTTTCAACAGGCTTCCCGTTGCGACGACCACGAAGATTAATCTGCTAGCCCCGGCCCGCTAGCACGCGCAATCAACAGCCGTGCCTCCTGCTCGCCTGTGCTGTAGCAGCCCACAAACTGCTACCGGACTTACCTATTGCTGTTCACTGGACCTTATGATCACTCAGCTACACAGCTGATGCCTGCTGGACTGTTCCTTTACACGGTACCCCATCCTGTTTATCCGTTTAGCCTCAGCCCAAACTTATGTCGCCATTACCAGTTGTTGTCTTAGCCCTCTCAAATAACACCTGTGATTGCGTTATGCCTCTCTCCCATGTCAATATGCCTAGCCTATTGCTGTTTGGGTTAGGTCTTATTGTACTATTTCACTGTAGAGCCCCCAGTCCCGCTCAACCTGCCTCAGAGAGCTCCTTTGTCCCACCCCCCATACACGCAGAGACCGGCTCAAATCGGTACCTCCAGTGATGCTCTCTCTTTCATCTTTACCCAATGCTTAGGTGTACCTCCACTGTACTCATATCCTTCCATATCCTTGTCTGTACATAATGCCCTGAATCTATTCTACAACGCCCGGAAATCTGCACCTTTTATTCTCTGTACCCATCGCAATAGAAGACCAGTTCTTAAAGCTTTAGCCGTATCCTTATTTTTTCCTCCTCTGTTCATCTGGTGATGTAGAGGTTAACCCAGGCCCTGAAGCCCCCAGTATCACTCCTACTCCCCAGGCGCTATCATTTGTTGACTTCTGTAACCGTAAAAGCCTTGGTTTCTTGCATGTTAACATCAGAAGCCTCCTCCCTAAGTTTGAGTTATTCACTGCGTTAGCACACTCAGCCAACCCTGATGTTCTAGCAGTGTCTGAATCCTGACTTCAGAAAAATTCAGAAATGTCCATCCCGAACTACAACATTTTCCGTCTAGATAGAACTGCCAAAGGGGGCGGAGTTGCAATCTACTGTAGAGATAGCCTGCAGAGCTCTATCATACTATCCAGGTCTGTGCCCAAACAGTTTGAACTTCTACTTCTAAAAATCCACCTTTCCAGAAATAAGTCTCTCACTGTTGCCGCTTGCTACAGATCCCCCCTCAGGCCCCAGTTGTGACCTGGACACCATATGTGAATTGCTTGCCCCCCATCTATCCTCAGAGTTTGTACTGCTTGGTGACCTAAACTGGGATATCCCGGCCGTCCTACAATCTAAACTAGATGCCCTCAATCTCACACAAATTATCAAGGAACCTACCAGGTACAACCATAAATCTGTAAACATGGGCACCCTCATAGATATCATCCTGACTAATTTACCCTCTAAATACACCTCTGCTGTCATCAACCAGGATCTCAGCGATCACTGCCTCATTGCCTGCGTCCGTAATGGGTCCGCGGTCAAACGACCACCCCTCATCACTGTCAAACGCTCCCTAAAACACTTTAGCGAGCAGGCCTTTCCATTTGACCTGGCCCGGGTATCCTGGATGGATATTGACCTCATTCCGTCAGTAGAGGATGCCTGGATGTTCTTCAAAAGTGCTTTCTTCTCCATCTTAAATAAGCATGCCCCATTAAAGAAATTCAGAACTAAGAACAGATATTGCCCCTAGTTCACCCCAGACTTGACTGCCCTTGACCAGCACAAAAACATCCTGTGGCGTACTGCATTAGCATCGAACAGCCCCCGCGATATGCAACTTTAAGGAAGTCAGGAACTAATATACACAATCAGAGGGGAAAGCAAAGGCTAGCTTTTTCAAACAGAAATGTGCATCCTGTAGCACTAACTCCAAAAACTTTTGGGACACTGTAAAGTCCATGGAGAATAAGAGCACCTCCTCCCAGCTACCCACTGCACTGAGGCTAGGAAACACTGTCACCACCGATAAATCTACGATAATCGAGAATTTCAATAAGCATTTTGCTATGGCTGGCCATGCTTTCCACCTGGCTAATCCTACCCCGGCCACCAGCTCTGCACCCTCCGCTGCAACTTGCCCATGCCCCCCCGCTTCTCCTTGACTCAAATTCAGACAGCTGATTTCCTGAAAGAGCTGCAAAATCTGGACCCCTACAAATCAGCTGGGCTAGACAATCTGGACCCTTTCTTTCTAAAAATTAGCAGACGAAATTGTCGCAACCCCCATTACTAGCCTGTTCAACCTCTCTTTCGTAACGTCTGAGATCCCCAGAGATTGGAAAGCTGCCGCGGTCATCCCCCTCTTCAAAGGGGGTGACACTCTAGATCCAAACTGTTACAGACCTATATCCATCCTGCCCTGCCTTTCAAAAGTTTTTGAAAGCCAAGTTAACAAACAGATCACCGACCATTTCGAATCCCACCGTACCTTCTCCGCTATGCAATCTGGTTTCCGAGCTGGTCATGTGTGCACCTCAGCTACGCTCAAGGTCCTAAACGATATAATAACCGCAATTGATAAAAGACAGTACTGTGCAGCAGTCTTCATCGACCTGGCCAAGGCTTTTGACTCTGTCAATCACCACATTCTTATTGGCAGACTAAATAGCCTTGGTTTCTGAAATGACTGCCTCGCCTGGTTCACCAACTACTTCTCAGATAGATTTCAATGTGTCAAATCGGAAGGCCTGTTGTCTGGACCTCTGGCAGTCTTTATGGGGGTGCCACAGGGTTCAATTCTCGGGCCGACTCTATTCTCTGTGTATATGAATGATGTCGCTCTTGCTGCTGGTGACTCTCAGATCCACCTCTACGCAGACGACACCATTTTGTATACATCTGGCCCTTCATTGGACACTGTGTTAACAAACCTCCAAACGAGCTTCAATGCTATACAACACTCCTTCCGTGGCCTCCAACTGCTCTTAAACGCTAGTAAAACTAAATGCATGCTCTTCAATCGAACGCTGCTTGCTCCCGCCCGCCCGACTAGAATCACTACTCTCGGCGGGTCTGACTTAGAATATGCGGACAACTACAAATACCTAGGTGTCTGGTTAGACCGTAAACTCTCCTTCCAAACTCATATTAAGCATCTCCAATCCAAAGTTAAATCTAGAATTGGCTTCCTGTTTCGCAACAAAGCCTCCTTCAATCATGCTGCTAAACATGCCCTCGTAAAATTGACAATCCTACCGATCCTTGACTTCGGCGATGTCATTTATAAAATAGCTTCCAACACTCTACTCAGCAAATTGGATGTAGTCTATCACAGTGCCATCCGTTTTGTCACCAAAGCCCCATATACTACCCAACATTGTGACCTGTACGCTCTCGTTGGCTGGCCCTCACTACATATTCGTCGCCAAACCCACTGGCTCCAGGTAATCTATAAATCACTTCTAGGCAAACCCTGCCTTATCTTAGCTCATTGGTCACCATAGCAACACCCACCCGTAGTATGCGTTCCAGCACGTATATCTCACTAGTCATCCCCAAAGCCAACACCTCCTTTGCCCGCCATTCCTTCCAGTTCTCTGCTGCAAATGACTGGAACGAACTGCAAAAATCTCTGAAGCTGGAGACACTTATCTCCCTCACTAACTTTAAGCATCAGTTGTCAGAGCAGTTTACCGATCACTGCACCTGTACACAGCCCATCTATAATTAGCCCACCCAACTACCTCATCCCAATATTGTTATTTACATTGTTATTTATTTTGCTCATTTGCACCCCAGTATCTCTATTTGCACATCATCTTCTGCACATCTATCACTCCAGTGTTAATACTAAATTATAATTATTTTGCACTATGGCCTATTTATTGCCTTACCTCCATAAATTACTACATTGGCACACACTGTATATAGATTTTCTATTGTGTTATTGACTGTACGTTTTGTTTATTTTATATGTAACTGTGTTGTTGTTGTTTTTAAATCGCACTGCTTTGCTTTATCTTGGCCAGGTCGCAGTTGTAAATGAGAACTTGTTCTCAACTGTCTTACCTGGTTAAATAAAGGTTAAATAAAATAAAAAAAAAGACAACAGTAGTAGGCTTGATTACCAACAATGACGAGACAGCCTACATGGAGGTGAGGGCTCTGGGAGTGTGGTGCCAGGAAAATAACCTCTCACTCAACGTCAACAAAACAAAAGGAGATGATCGTGGACTTCAGGAAACAGCAGAGGGAACACCCCCCTATCCACATTGACGGGACCGCAGTGGAGAAGGTGGAAAGCTTCAAATTCCTCGGCATACACATCACTGACAAACTGAAATGGTCCACCCACACAGACAGTGTGGTGAAGAAGGTGCAACTGCGGCTATTTTTTTATTTAAAAAATGAATACACTCCCAAGTAGTCGAATACTAACGTCTGTTTGGATATTCCAATAAACATGCCCATCCCTACTCTGAACCCAAAGGAATTCCCCTGCTGCTGCTACTACTGCTACTACAGTTGGTGAACAATGGGGCAGACAGGCCTGATACCTACAGGGGTCCTACAATTCTAAATCAAATAGCTAAATGATCCATGGTATGACCATCTTAAAACAATTCCATATGACTAACATTAAGGGGCTGTGGCAGTTTACTATGATTAATACCACTCGCATGCGACTGCGACCTAGCAAAGGGAGTTCTGCAGCACAAACCTTTATCTGTCCCAGGATCTACTAGGCTACTAAATGATTTGCCTGTCTGAGGTAGTAGCAGGGTTGACCACCTCTATCACTGCTCCCGCTGGGTGTAGATTAAAGTTGCACTTATACGCTGATCTGGTGTCAGTTTGACATTTTCCCCACTAATGGTTAAGGTTTGGATTCAGGGAGGAGAAGCTGATCCTGTACCTAGGGGAAATGTCACACAGGAGACTATTTTAGCTGTGATGTCATGGCAATGGTCATTTTCCAGGTGTTTTCTTTTAAATCATCTCCTCACTCCCTCTTTCCTCTTTCTCTGAGAACTCGGTGGTCCGTTCCAGAAAAATGTTAACTGATATCTAGATCTGAGAGAGCGAGAGTTTACATCATCTGATTAGCCTAGCAGACGCCAATGAGCGCCTTTGTTTTAGTTATTGGGAGAGAGAGGAACGCATTAAATAAACCCATCCTTGCTTGACTAGGATGGAATTCCAGTAATACCCTCGTAAATGAACAGAGCCCTGTTTGTGGTAGTGCCGTGGTGGACCTAGTCTCACTCTCCACTCCCATAACATTGATAGAGCCAGGAGCCAGGAGGGTTAAGCTTGCTAACTAAAAAGTGGGTGTTGTTCATATGGTTATGTGGGCAAGAATACTGTACATGTGTTGTAACTCTATAATGAATGGATTGTGAGCATAGGGCCCCACTTTTTCCATTCATTTCCCAACTGCTGAGCATTTAACTGAGCTTAACCAAGCTTTTTAAAGTCCTAACATCTTTAAAATGTAGGTCATTTTAGCTAATCCCAGAATTGTAAAGGAAAATAGAGTAAAAAACCCAGGTGTGTGTCTTAGAGTAAACAGACACTCAGCCCACAGTTGAGAGGTATGCAACCACAAGACAGACGCATTTATCTTTCTCTCTCGGACTCAGGGAGCAAGTACACAGACACGGGGTCACAGAGTGCAAGCTAGGCTATAGTTTCTGTTCAGTTAATCTCTGTGACTCAATGCAGCGTAATCACCGTCAGTGACGGCATTACACAAACACAGCGCAACCTTTCACACACAAATACACACACACACACGCACACACAGCAACCTTACGCACGAGCCCACACACACACAGTAACCTTTGCTCAGCTGAGTCACATAATATTTGATGTGTTTATAGTCTAGGGATGAGCCAGAAATATAAACCGTAGGTCCTACGTTAAGGCCAGTCTACAGGCAATATGGGTCCACAACAGTGGGCCGGCCTTCTCTAAAACCAATAGGCCTACTAAAGGAAATGTGTGGAACTTAGATGGGCCATGGCCATTATGCTTGCGGCCTCTCTGGTGAGCAGGTGATACCTGTCATAAGCAATAATAATAAAATCTAAGGATGTAAGTAATAAGGCCACAAACACACACAGCCCCGCTGGGCACTAAATTCAGGCCAGGACCCCAAGGAGAATAGGATGCCAGATGGCACCAGTGTCCATCAGGCTCCTAGAGGGGGAATTCTGCGGTGTTCGGTTAAAGAGAGCCACAACAGACCCACCAACCCTAGCTTGAAGGTTACTACTCAGTGTTGTTCATAGATCGGGTAAATATTCCCTTGGTACAGATCTAGGATCAGCTTCTCCTCCCCCAATCCAACCTTAACCATCAGTGGGGGAAATGCTAAACTGACCCAAGATCAGTGTCTAAAGGCAACATCACCCTCATCTGATTGTTTAGGCCTATATCTACCCAGACCTATTCAGACCACCACTATATTTGCTCTTAACATAATCCAGTTTTCATAAATACCCTTCTAACCCCACTGCATAAATATCTACTTCATCATACACGGCTGCTGAAGTGACAACAGATTCCACAGGGGATCCCCCAACCTCTCCCTATCCAACTCTCACAATCCATCATTGTAGAAGGCCCTAGCCAGCATACCCCAAGGTCCTGACCTTGTGAGGGTAGAGTATACACATGAGTGTGTGTGTGTGTGCGCGCGTGTGTCTGCCTGTGCTTGTGTGTGTGTAGGAGGGTGGCTAAGGATGAGGTCACCCATTTATAGCAGCCTTGGGGGAGAGGGTGGGGGGCTATCTGCTGAACCGGCTCTGAAACCACAGCCCAGTCATAGCCTGCGTCCCAAATAGCACCCTGTTTCCTACATGGTGTAAGTGAACTGCTTTTTAGGGCACTGTGTTTGGAATAAAGTGCCATTTGGAAGGAAGCCATAAAGCCCGGAGTACACACAGGACCATGATTAACTATGGAGGTCATTTCCTCCCATTGTGCACTTTCTGCACAGACTCTATTCAGTGTTTCCCCTATATTCATTTACGGTAGCAGCACCCCTGCCTAGTCATGTGAAATCCATAGAATAATGCCACATTTATTTATTTCAATTGACTGATTTCCTTATATGAACTGTAACTCAGTAAAATATTTGAAATTGTTGCATGTTGCGTTTATATTTTTGTTCAATATATATACACTACCAGTCAAAAGTTTGGACACACGTACTCATTCAAGGGTTTTTCTTTATTTTTACTATTTCTTACATTGTAGAATAATAGTGAAGACATCAAAACTATGAAATAACACATATGGAATCATGTAGTAACCAAAAAAGTGTTAAACAAAGCAAAATATATTTTATATTTGAGATTCTTCAAATAGCCACCCTTTGCCTTGATGACAGCTTTATACACGCTTGGCATTCTCTCAACCAGCTTCATGAGGTAGTCATCTGGAATGCATTTCAATTAACAGTTGTGCCTTCTTTAAAGTTAATTTGTGGAATTTCTTTCCTTCTTAATGCGTTTGAGCCAATCAGTTGTGTTGTGACAAGGTAGGGGGGGTATACAGAAGATAGCCCTATTTTGTAAAAGACCAAGTCCATATTATGGCAAGAACAGCTCAAAAAAGCAGAAAGAAACGACAGTCCATCATTACTTTAAGACATGAAGGTCAGTCAATACGGACAACTTCAAGAACTTTGAATGTTTCTTCAAGCGCATTCGCAAAAACCCTCAAGCGCTATGATGAAACTGGCTCTCATGAGGAACAACACAGGAATGGAAGTCCCAGTTACCTCTGCTGCAGAGGATAAGTTCATTAGAGTTAACTGCACCTCAGATTGCTGCCAAAATAAATGCTTCACAGAGTTCAAGTAACAGACACATCTCAACATCAACTGTTCAGAGGGGACTGTGTAAATCAGGCATTCATGGTCGAATTGCTGCAAAGAAACCACTACTAAAGGACGCCAATAATAAATAGAGACCTGCTTGGGCCAAGAAACGCAAGCAATGGACATTAGACCGGTGGAAATGTGTCATTTGGTCTGGACTCCAAATTTGAGATTTTTGGTTCCAACCGCCGTGTCTTTGTGAGACGCAGAGTAGGTGAACGGATGATCTCTGCATGTGTAGTTCCCACCGTAAAGCATGGAGGAGGGAGGAGGTGGTGTTATGGTGTGGGGGTGCTTTGCTGGTGACACTGACAGTGATTTATTTAGAATTCAAGGCACACTTAACCAGCATGGCTACCACAGCATTCTGCAGCGATACACCATCCCATCTGGTTTGGGCTTAGTGGGACTATAATTTGTTTTTCTACAGGACAATGACCCAACACACCTCCAGGCTGTATAAGGGTTATTTGACCAAGAATGAGAGTGATGGAGTGCTGCATCAGATGACCTGGCCTCCACACTCTAATTAACTTATCCTCTACAGCAGAGGTAACTCTGGGTCTTCCTTTCCTATGGTGGTCCTCATGAGAGCCAGTTTCATCATAGCGCTTGAGGGTTTTCGCGACTGCACTTGAAGGAACTTTAAAAGCTCTTGAAATTTTCCGGATTGACTGACCTTCATGTCTTAAAGTAATGATGGACTGTCTTTTCTCTTTGCTTATTTGAGCTGTTCTTGCCATAATATGGACTTGTTCTTTTACCAAATATGGCTATCTTCTGTATACCACCCCCACCTTGTTACAACACAACTGATTGGCTCAAATGCATTAAGAAGGCACACCTGTTAATTTAAATATTTGTTTTATTTATTTCCGCCGAGACGCGCTTTTAAATGGATAGTTGTTGTCTCAATGACTGGAAGTCTACGGGAACAGCTAACATGTCATTGTGCTAACGCTAGTAGCAGAGCACGCTTGCCACCACTGCTGAAAAGAATCCTAGGGGAAACACTGCTATTGGAGTGAAATACAGTGGTGAGGATGAAGAATAGAGAATAACTAAACCAAGGCCAAACCACACATACTGGTTTCAAATTCCAGACATGTTACACTGAGACTACAAAGAAAAAGAACAATGGTTACTAGCAGGTTTTACAGTCACAACACATGTTACTACTGGTTGAATCAGCTGTCTGTGGGAGAAGGTGGCGATTACAAACAGTTCTATTTTGGAATTTTCATGAGGAGTTCACAGGCTAATGCAACATGAATGACAAAACAAAAGCAACAGAACATGTAATTATTAAAACAATAATAAACATTCTGAGCTCTACTGTACCTGAACATGTCCTGTCAGAGGAACAGACACACACTGACATGTCTTACCAAACACAGGACCAATCTGGTAATTGGTCTAGCCTAATTTCAAGGCAATATAAGGCATGGCCCACACTCAGACATCACAAATGAAAGCCAAATCAAAGCATTGGTGGTATGGGTGGTAGTGGATACCTGCTTTTGTTGCAGTATTTTCCCCAGACAGCTGCTTGCACAGACAGAAAACACACCTATGATAGAACGTCAGCCAAGGAAACTCCAGACACCCAAAAATAGACTTCCAGGTCTCCATGACTATTTGTTTGTATCATGTGTCTCACTGTTTCCAACCAGGTTTCTCAATACATCCCCTCTACGGGTATACCCAGACACATTTGTCACTCGAAATGTTTGGGGTCTTGAGGTGCTACTGAAAAATCTGTTACTTCCAAATAGACAGTGTCGAACATATGCTGAGCAAACCCTGAAAGCTACACATCAGTATTCCATCAGCAAGCTAACACAACATGACACAGAAAGACCAGCACCAATCACCCATCGACTGAGACCATTTCAGAGCAATTTATTCATCCTACACAACTAAGTCAATGTTATTGGCTAGCTTAAAGGTGCTCTCTTCAAGCCATTATTTCCTGATAAGAGGATTATAGATATTAGCTGGGGGAGTCTGACTCTGGGGGTGTGTGTGTGAGTGTGCGTGAGAGAGAGACAAAGATGGAGAGAGAGAAGAGGACAGAGAAAGATGGAGAGAGAAGAAAGAGAGAAAGATGGAAAGAGGAGAGAGGAGAGAAAGATGGAGAGAAACAGAGAGAGAGATAGAGAGAGAAAAAACATACAACATTATAAAATCCATGTACACAAACAACAAGTGTGCGGTTAAAATTGGCAAAACACACATTTCTTTACACATGGCCGTGGGGTGAGACAGGGATGCAGCCACCCCACCCTCTTCAACATATATATCAACAAATTGGTGAGGGCACTAGTCTGCAGCACCCGGCCTCACCCTAATAGAATCTGAAATCAAATGTCTACTGTTTGCTGATGATCTGGTGCTTCTGTCTCCAAACAAGGAGGGCCTACAGCAGCACCTAGATCTTCTGCACATATTCTGTCAAACCTGGGCCCTGACAGTAAATCTCAGTAAGACAAAAATAATGGTATTCCAAAAAAGGTCAATTTGCCAGGACCACAAATACAAATTATATCTAGACACTGTTGCCCTAGAGCACACAAAAAACTATACATACCTCGGCCTAAACATCAGCACAACATGTAACTTCCACAAAGCTGTGAACGATCTGAGAGACAAGGCAAGAAGGACCTTCTACACCATCAAAAGGAACATCAATTTCGACATCCCAACTAGGATCTGGCTAAAAATACTTGAATCAGTTATAGAACCATTGCCCTTTATGGCTGTGAGGTCTGGGGTCTGCTCACCAACCAAGAATTCACAAAATGGGACAAACACCAAATTCTGCAAAAACATCCTCCATGTACAATGTAAAACACCAAATGATGCATGCAGAGCAGAATTAGGACGATACCCGCGAATTATCAAAATCCTGAAAATAGCTGTTAAATTCTACAACCACCTAAAAGGAAGTGATTCCCAAACCTTCCAAACAAAGCCATCACCTACAGAGATTAACCTAGAGAAGAGTCCCCTAAGCAAGCTGGTCCTGGGGCATTGTTCAAAAACACAAACAGACCCCACAGAGCCCCAGGACAGCAACACAATTAGACCCAACCAAATTATGAGAAACAAAAAGATAATTACTTGACACATTGGAAAGAATTTACCAAAAAACGGAGCAAACTGGAATGCTATTTGGCCCTAAACAGAGAGTTCACAATGGCAGAATACCTGACCACTATGACTGACCCAAAATTAAAGAAATTAAGGAAAGCTTTTGACTATGTAGACTCAGTGAGCGGCTGCCATAGGCAGACCTGGCTTTCAAGAGAAGACAGGCTATGTGCACACTGCCCACAAAATGAGGTGGAAACTGAGCTGCACTTCCTAACCTCCTGCCATATGTATGACCATATTAGAGACACATACTGTATTTTACTCAGATTACACAGACCCACAAAGAATTTGAAAACAAATCCAAATTTTGATAAACTCCCATATCTATTAGGTGAAATAAAACAGTGTTCCATCACAGCAGCAAGATGTGTGACCTGTTGCCACAAGAAATGGGCAACCAGTGAAGAATACACCATTGTAAATACAACCCATCTTAATTTTTAATTTTCCCTTTTGTACTTTAACTATTTGCACATTGTTACAACACTGTACATAGCCATAATATGACATATGAAATGTCTCTATTCCTTTGAAACTTTTGTGAGTGTAATGTTTACTGTTAATTTTATTGTTTATTTCACTTCTGTTTATTATCTATTTCACTCGCTTTGGCAAAGTAAACATATGTTTCCCATGCCAATAAAGCGCTTTGAATTGAATTGAGAGAGAAACAGAGAGAGAGAAGAGAAAGAGAGATTGAGAGAGAGGAGAGAAGAGAGAGAGAGCTAAATGGGGCCTGTGGTGACAGTACAGGGAAAGGGGGGCAGATATGACAGAGCCTCACTTAGCTTCCTTATCTTCTCTCACACCTGCTGGAATTTCACAGGCAGGCAGCAGCCTTGCATCGTGTACCGTACGCTATGCCACCGTACGAGTTTCACTGCCTCTAGCTGCTCACTGCTTAGCCAACAGAATGAAATGTCTATACAGCTCAACTGAGAAGACGCAGAGGAAATAGGAACAGGCTCGCCGTGAAACGGACTTAAGTGTGATTGTGAACACGTCTAACTACTGCGCATAGGCCTATAACCAGGAGAGGATTTGTTGCCGAATAACAAACCTTTAGAGCCGCTGGGCTATAAGGGCATATTACATCATACAAATCAGCTACAGTGCTGATGCGTGACAGATATGAAGGAGTTGTCATAAACGTAAAGCAGGCCAGGCAGCCTCTCGAGCATGAATATCTATTGACCTTTAAATATCAGGGTTGCGTCACAAATGCAGATCTGCCAACCTTGAAGAGTCCCACTTCAGCCCTGCGGCGGCACTTGTGACACCCACACTGCTTAAGTCATAGGCAAATTTATATATTTTTTAGCCTTATAATGCTGTTGGCAGAAGACTGCCTCAGTAGGAATGGTAGGCTATAGACTTATGGATACTTGGTAATTGGCTGCTCTTCAGTAACTAACTAGAAATACGATTAAAATGTACAATCGGGGGAGTAATAATTTGTCCAAACAGTTCGACAAATTCAGGTAAGTCCCTCTCCATTTTGTTTCGTTTACTTTTGTTTAAGAAACGTTCTGCAACAGATCGGCGGAATGAATACATCCCAGGGCTCTCCCTAGGATTTTATGACAAGATGGTGCTGAAGTAGGGCTAAGGTTGGGTAGGGGGGAGGTCCGGAGGGGGGTCAGTCAACTTCAAGTTGGTGCATTTAGCATTTCTGAAACCTAGTCTTAAATGATATCAAACAATGTAGCCAATACAGAAGTATTGTGTTTGATCCTAAATAAAACTGAGGTGGTCTCAATGACACGTTCACATTTTTCTAGGTAAAATTTAGGGGTAATGATTATTCTAATTAAATAGGTGTCTTTATGTGGATAGTTTAGTGAAAATGTAAACTGGCTTCTTAATTTTGTTTGGGGAGAACATTCTGAATAATTCAATTACTGGATGCAATGTAGTAGTCTAGCTTACTGCAGGTTATTTGGAATATGAAACAACTGAACTAGGCCTATATGAGCTTGTTTCAGATCTCCATCCTGACCTAATCCATAAAGTTAGGTCTGACTACTAGGCTACCATTCATTCAACATGCCTTGATGTCATTGGTTAACTGACAACTATCACATCATTAGCAGCCTACTGTTGACATACAGTTATATCAAGAACTGATTAATTAAAACATGCATACTAATCTTAAACAGTCTAACATGACTTCCCGTGAAGGACGGTATTAGCGCAACACTGCATGTTTCCTTGCTCCACAATGCGTTCGCGCCTACTACCGTTGCAGAAATCAAAGCATGTACAGGCAAGAAAGTGTTCTCGCTTAGTTGACTGAGCACTGCATGTAGCTAACAACCTTCGTCGTAATGATGCCTTAGCTAAGGAGCCAACTACGTAATAGTGGTTGTGCTTAACTAACACATACAATTTTGGAAAATGTATTTGGAAAACAGTTCGTTCTCCAATTCTCCCTAGCCTTTTTCCTCACACATCAGTGGTGTTAATGGACAAAGTGGAGCGCTGCCATCCAGTTTGAGGGAGGAAAACAGTACTGTAGGGGACCGCACGGAGCGGAAAGCTAGAGATTTTTTCTCCTCGCCAAAGTCCTCTGATTGGCTCAGTTCCAACTTTAGACAGTCGAGTCAAAAACCACAATGTGCCAACTAGAAGCCTATTTTTGCGTATTTTAGGCGAGTTTTTTGTACCAGCACACTTTGACCTCAAATTGCGTGCATGGTACGCAAAATTTGTGTAGGTTGGCAGGTCTGCAAATGGCACCCTATTCCCTTTAAAGTGCACTACTTTTGACCAGAGCCATATGGGCCCTAGTCAAAAGTAGTGCAATGTATAGGGAATAGGAAGCCATTTGGGACACACATATAAGGCTGTGATGGTCATGGAATTTTGGATGATGGTTATTGGTCAGCCAAATGACTGCAGTCACCATTATAATTGTTGCATATTTTCTCCTCTCCTAACTGCATGTGCTGCTGCTGCAGGAAGGGTAGTGTTGCCTAGACTTGTTTGCTAGAACACCTTGCTTGTTTCAGCAAGGAGCAACAAAGATTCATCTTGTTGAAAAGAGTCCATGTAAACGCGGAAACGGACTCAACTACACGACTGCCTGGCTGTACAGTCTTCAGTCAGCTGTTCGGTCAAAATTATTATTATTATTTTTACAGTTGTTTTTTTTTCATGACGGACTTCATCCATAATCGTCAGTTACACAATTATACAGTAATAACACTTAAAGGCTGTCTAAAGCATCACAAACAGGCAGAGGATCAATCTCGTGACTAAGCATAACTGTAGCTAGGCTAACGTTTCCATTTAACAATGTCCAGTACCTAGACTAGAGTATAGTAAGTATAGTACATATTCTGATGCATATATTCTCAACTCTGATCACTGTTATACCTCATAATCAAAATGACATGTGACCATTAAGATCTATTTCTGTGTGACTACGTCAAGGCAACAAAAGGGATTTCTAGTTGATGCTGCAGCTTTCCAGACTACTCAACTCTGCCTACAAAAATACTACTTTAATCCACCTTAGAAAAACACATCTGTGCCATCAAATCTTTTAAAATTGCTTCTTTCTTTCCTTTTTTCCTGTTCTGTCACGACTCAGTATAACGTCAGGAAAAGAGTCTGACTCTTGTCTTGTGTGGGATGGATGGATGGATGGTACACAGTGGAATGAGTGGAATAAGGAGATTGAGTGAGAGAGCGATAGAGCGAGAGAGCAAGGGAGAGTGACTATGTTTAGTACTGGTCAAAAGAGACAATATACTACAGTACAATTTAAAATACAGGAATGCCGTGCCACTGCCAATAGAAAATAACATGAAAAAATGAAGACATAACGCATTACAGTGTTCGCCGACCACAACATTCTGCTCATACTTCTCCAACCAGCCTGGATAAATGTCAGTGAGGAATAGTTGGGCAGAGAGAAAGTCAATGTGTGTTTATCCCATCTTGCATTGCTGTTCAAAACTGCCTGGTCAAGGTATCTAAACCTAGAGGCCCAGGAAGACACTCACTCACCCCTGATCCAGACAGACAGCATGACAGTGAGACTCACCCCTGATCCAGACAGACAGCATGACAGTGAGACTCGCCCCTGATCCAGACAGACAGCATGACAGTGAGACTCACCCCTGATCCAGACAGACAGCATGACAGTGAGACTCACCCGATCCAGACAGACAGCATGACAGTGAGACTCACCCCTGATCCAGACAGACAGCATGACAGTGAGACTCACCCGATCCAGACAGACAGCATGACAGTGAGACTCACCCCTGATCCAGACAGACAGCATGACAGTGAGACTCACCCCTGATCCAGACAGACAGCATGACAGTGAGGCTGGGTGGTTCTTGCCTTCTAGTGGAACGCACGGTGTGAGAAGTTCTGAGAAGCCAGGCAGCTCGCTAAAGATAGAGTCTGGACATATACAGTACAGGTCTCAAGTGTCTGACAGACCACCTGAGCCTTCCTCTATGGTCTCTCACTGTCCCAAATAGCCTATATCCTGACTGCAGGTGAGCCAACAGTACACAACCCTGTCCCCAACTAGGCTAAGCAATGGCTATTGTCTTCCTATTACAGCCGGAAATCACTTTGCAATGGTCTTCCATGTAAAAAACAGATGTGCCTATATACTATTAGAAGCTTTCCTTCATTGCGCCTGCTGTAACCTGCCCTCTTCCATGTAAGAAAACAGATATACAGTAGGCAGTCACATTGTCTTCTATTTACCTTTAGAGGGAGTTGACTTACAGGGTATGTGCTGCATACAGTACCAGTCAAAAGTTTGGACACACCTACTCATTCAAGGGTTTTTCTTTATTTTTACTATTTTCTACATTAGAATAATAGTGAAGGTATCAAAACTATGAAATAACACAGATTAAATAATGTAGTAACCAATAAAAGTGTTAAACAAATCAAAATATATTTTATATTTGAGATTCTTCAAAGTAGCCACCCTTTGCCCAGCTTTGCACACTCTTGGCATTCTCTCAAACAGCTTCATGAAGTAGTCACCTGGAATGTATTTCAATTAACAGGTGTGCCTTCTTAAAAGTTAATTTGTGGAATTTATTTCCTTCTTAATGCGTTTGAGCCAATCAGTTGTGTTGTGACAAGGTAGGGGTGGTATACAGAAGATAGCCCTATTTGGTAAAAGACCAAGTCCATATTACAGCAAGAACAGCTCAAATAAGCAGTCCATCATTACTATGAAGACATGATGGTCAGTCAATCTGGAAAATTGCAGTCACAAAAAACATCAAGCGCTATGATGAAACTGGCTCTTACTTCTGCTGAAGAGGATACGTTCATTAGAGTTAACTGCACCTCAGATTGCAGCCAAAATAAATGCTTCACAGAGTTCATGTAACAGACAAATCTCAACATCAACTGTTCAGAGGGGACTATGTGAAATCAGGCCTTCATGGTCAAATTGCTGCAAAGAAACCACTACTAAAGGACACCAATAAGAAGAAGAGACCTGCTTGGGCCAAGAAACACGAGCAATGGACATTAGACTGGTGGAAATTTAAGATTTTTGATTCCAACCGCCGTGTCTTTGTGAGACGCAGAGTAGGTGAATGGATGATCTCTGCATGTGTGGTTCCCACCGTGAAGCATTGAGGAGGAGGTGTGATGGTGTGGGGGTGCTTTGCTGGCGACAAGGTTGGTGATGTATTTAGAATTCAAGGCACACTTAACCAGCATGGCTACCACAGCATTCTGCAGCGATACACCATCCCATCTGGTTTGCGCTTAGTGGGACTATCATTTGTTTTTCAACAGGACAATGACCCAACACACCTCCAGGCTGTGTAAGGGCCATTTGACCAATAAGGAGAGTGATGGAGTGCTGCATCAGATGACCTGGCCTCCACAATCACCCGACCTCAACCCAATTGAGATGGTTTGGGATGAGTTGGACCGCAGAGTGAAGGAAAAGCAGCCAACAAGTGCTCAGCATATGTGGGGACTCCTTCAAGACTGTTAGAAAAGCATTCAAGGTGAAGCTGGTTGAGAGAATGCCATGAGTGTGCAAAGCTGTCATCAAGGCAAATGATGGCTACTTTGAAGAATCTCAAATATAAAATATATTTTGATTTGTTTAACACTTTTTTGGTTACTACATTATGCCATATGTGTTATTTCATAGTTTTGATGTCTTCACTATTATTCTACAATGTAGAAAATAGTAAAAAATAAAGAAAAGCCCTTGAATGAGTAGGTGTGTCCAAACTCTTAACTGGTACTTTATGGGATGGCTAAACATGTAAAGAGAAATGGTAGTGGGGGTAGTGGGAATATCTCTCACCAGTTACCCAGGCTACACTGTGGTCCCTGAGGTGCTCTGCTTAGATCTTAATCTCCCGGATGGAAGATAATGGCTGGCAGACAGACCTGGCTTTGTTTGTTTTCCTCTTCCTGTCCTTCATCCTGCCTGCTAAGGCCACAGCAGGCCGGGCCGGGTGAGTGTTCACTAGGCCAGGGCACACCGTAGCTAAATTATTTGCAATGGGAAACGAACATATAGTAGTGCTGAAAGTAGTGTACTATATAGGGTTCCATTTAGGACACAGACAGAAAGAACACTGGGACCTTTAGCTTGAGGCGAAACATAGTCAGGGTAGTGTAGGGTAGGCTAGTGGAGGGTAGTGGAGGCTAGTGTACAGTAGGCTTGGTGTAGGGTAGTGTAGTAGTTTGGGTTGACTTCAGCTCCCCCATCTACTTCCTCTGCCATTTTAGCCCCTTACAAAGAACCCACTCATGGAAAAAGACCTGGAAGTTGTTAGATTTGTTTGTGTTCATTGAGGTTGATTAAATGTGTACCAGGATTAAGTGTACTGTATTAATCTAAACCAATAAGCACAACACCATGCCCAGGGACATTCAGATCATGGACATCTGGAACCATTTTTTTTTCAGAAACATTAAGAGAATGATTTGAATGGAAAGAGGCGTAGCAATTTCCCCACAATGCTTAAAGCACACCACAGGACTACAAACATAAATCAAACATATTTCTAACTACTGTAAGTTGTCCTCACCACCAGTGAAAGGTGATGCTTTGACTTACGGACGTATCATATTAGTAGCATGACTGTTTATGTTAAATGCATTATGAATGGATTTAAACTAAAGGTCAACAACACCTAATCTCCCAGACTCTGCAGAAGACCAGGGCTACATCCCAATTGGCACCATATTCCCTACAAAGAGCCCTACTTTTGACCAGAGCCCTATATTTTCCTATCTCCACAGAGGAACTCTGGAGCTCTGTCAGAGTGACCATCGGGTTCTTGGTCACCTCCCTGACCTAGGCGCTTCTCCCCCGATTGCTCAGTTTGGCCGGGCGGCCAGCTCTAGGAAGAGTCTTGGTGGTTCCAAACTTCCATTTGAGAATGATTGAGGCCACTGTGTTCTTGGGGACCTTCAATGCTGCAGACATTTTTTGGTACCCTTCCCCAAATCTGTGCCGCAACACAATCCTGTCTCGGAGCTCTATGGACAATTCCTTCGACCTCATGGCTTGGTTTTTGCTCTGACATGCACCGTCAACTGTGGGACCTTATATAGACAGGTGTTTTCCTTTCCAAATCAGGTCCAATCAATTGAATTTACCACAGGTGGACTCCAATCAAGTTGTAGAAACATCTCAAGGATGATCAATGAAAACAGGATGCACCTGAGCTCAATTTCGAGTCTGAATACTTATGTAAATAAGGTATTTTTTATTTTTTTATTTTTTTATACATTTGCAAAAGGTTATAAAACCTGTTTTCACTTTGTCATTATTGGGTATTGTGTGTAGATTGATGAGGATTTATTTTTTTTTTTTTGTAAAAATCTAATCAATTTTAGAATAAGGCTGTAACATAACAAACTGTGGAAAAAGTCAAGGGGTCTGAATACTTTCCGAAGGGTATTAATTCACAGGTCTGTAGTAAACCCAGACTTCTGCTGCAATAGAGCCTTTGGCATTTATACAGTCCTCACCACACTCAAACACAAAAGCATATACACACACACACAACTACAGAACAGTGCCATCAGAAAGTATTCACACTCCTTGACTTTTTCTACATTTTGTTGTGTTACAGCCTGAATTTAAAATGGATTAAATTGACAATACCCCATAATGTCAAAGTGGAATTATGTTTTTTTATTTTTACAAATAAATAAAAATGTAAAAGCTGAAATGTCTTTAGTCAATAAGTATTCAACCCCTTTGTTATGGCAAGCCTAAATAAGTTCAGGAGTACAAATTTGCTTAACAAGTCACAATATGTTGCAATAATAGTGTTAAACATGATTTTTGAACAACTATCTCTGTACACCACAAAAATAATTATCTTTAAGGTCCCTCAGTCAAGCAGTGCATTCACAGATTCAAACACAAAGACAAGGGAGGTTTTCCAATGCCTCGCAAAGAAGGGCACCTATTGGTAGATGGGTATAAATAAATAAAAAGAAGACATTGAATATCCCTTTGAGCATGGTGAAGTTATTAATGACACTTTGGATGGTGTATCAATACACACAGTCGCTACAAAGATACAGGCGTCCTTCCTAACTCAGTTGCCGGAGAGGAAGGAAACCGCTCAGATTTCACGAGGCCAATGGTGACTTTAAAACAGTTACAGAGTTTAACGGCTGTGATAGGAGGAAACTCAGGATGGATCAACAATATTGTAGTTACTCCACAATACTAACCTAATTGACAGAGTGAAAAGAAGGAAGCCTGTACAGAATACAACTATTCCAAAACATGCAACCTATTTTCAACAAGGCACTCAACTAATATTGCAAAGAAATGGCAAAGAAATTAACTTTTTGTCCTGAATACAACGTGTTATGTTTGGGACAAATCCAATACAACACATTACTGAGTACCACTCTCTATATTTTCAAGTGTCACGTTGTATAATGATAGAAGACAGGCGCAGGAATACGTAATAGGGTTTTTTATTTCTCTACCCAACATAAGGTATGTCATGAAAAACGATGGGGACGAAGCACAAAACAAACACGTATATATATATAACACAGGGATGTAACCCAAACAAAAGAGAGGTGTAAACCTCTAAATAAATACACGGGACGAGACCCGTAATAACAAGTGCACAATGGAGAACAAAGGCACATATATACACATACTAATCAAGGGGAATGGGAACCAGGTGTGCGTAATGAGACAAGACAGTCCGGGGTTGGTGGTAATGATCCAGGTCAGTGACACCTAGAAGGCCGGTGACGTAGACCTCCGGAGCTGGTGAACGGAATGAGCAGCAGTACCGGGGGGATCCGTGACATAGTGGGACCCGCATTATGTTATGGGTATGCTTGTAATTAAGGACTGGGGAGTTATTCAGGAAAATAAATATTAACAGAATGGAGCTAAGCACAGGAAAAATTCTAGAGGAAAAACTGGTTCAGTCTGCTTTCCAACAGACACTGGGAGACAAACTCACCTTTTAGCAGGACAATAACCTCAAACACAAGGCCAAATCTACACTGGAGTTGCTTACCAAGAAGCGTGTGAATGTTTCTGAGTGGCCAAGTTACAGTTTTGACTTAAATCTACTTAAAAGCTATGGAAAGACTTGAAAATGTCTAGTAAGGATCAACTAGCCACTTGACAGACCTTGAAGAATTTTTAAAAGAACAATGTGCAAATATTGTACAATCCAGATGTGCAAAGCTCTTAGAAACATACCCAGTAAGAAACACAGCTGTAATCATTGCCAAAAGGTGATTTTATCATGTATTGATTTAGGGGTGTGAATACTTATTTATACATTTCATTTTCAATACATTCGCAAGAATGTATTTTTTTATTGGTAGCTATTACTGCACTGTTGGAGCTAGAAACACTAGCACTTTGCTGCACCTGTGATAACATCTGCAAATCTGTGTACGTGACCAGTAAACGTTGATTTGATTCGATAATACCTCAGGTTATACACACTGGTTTTTTTCCCACAATATATGGTTGTTTTTTTCCACAGTGTAAGACAACACAATTTTCCTAATTGAGACTGAATAGAGAAAGAGAATAAAGGCTTTCCGGCCTTTTCAGCCTCACGTAGTCAGACAGCCAATACGGTAATCAGTAGCCAGCATCCTCCGCACTATTCATTCAACATTATGCTGCTAAGGCTATCGCTGTACACTTTATAATATATTATAAACTGTGTAGGGGTCGAGCCCTGAATGCTGATTGGCTGACAGCCGTGGTATATCAGACCGTATACCACAGGTATAACAAAACATTTATTTTTACTGCTCTAATTACGTTGGTAACCAGTTTATAATAGCAATAAGGCACCTCTGGGGTTTGAGGTATATGGCTTCAGAACAGCCCGTAGCCGTGGTATATTGGCCATATACCACACCCCCTCAGGCCTTACTGCTTAAATATATAATATAGTTATAATAGAGGATGATCACACACGCAGGCATTTTACATACAGACTGAAAACAACAACTGTTTTCAATCAACTCATCCATTAATTCTCAGAGAGAGTTCAAAGAGCTATGAATGAACACATCTATGAAACACACAACACAAGCTATAATCAGAGGGAAACTGGAGTCAATTAAACTCGGAGTGAACTGCAACATGATGCTGGTTGTGAAACCATGCTGCCGACCGAGTGGAAGCAATAAACTTGATGTTAATCTGTTAGTCCCCTGTAGCTCAGTTGGTAGAGCATGGCGCTTGCAATGCCAGGGTTGTGGGTTCGTTTCCCACGGGGGGCCAGTATGAAAATGTATGCACTCACTAACTGTAAGTTGCTCTGGATAAGAGCGTCTGCTAAATGACTAAAATGTTAAATTTACGGCCAAAGAAATGGAGAGAATAATGAAACAACAAAGTGTTCAAAATGGACACACACACACACTCCATCTTCGTTTTGTAATTATGGTTTAGGGATCTGAGGCTAGAACTCCAACGTGTCCATTATAAATGCCAGCAGCAGAGCAGACCTACCATAATACCTTTGTTTGTGAAACATGTCATTTATCACTGCAGCTCATCAGGTCAAAAAGCAACAAAACAATTCACATAATCCCCACAGCTGCAACACAGCAACTCCTCTTTCTTCTCAATCTCTCTCACACACACACACACACACACACACACACAATATGAAACTGCTGCTGCTGAGTAGAGGGGAAAAAGGCGTTTTCCCCCCAGAATCCTGAGGGACGTTGTGCGTGTGTGAGGCAGCCAGGCTAGGCTGCATCCTGGAAGGCCAATCTAAAGCAGAATGCAGCAGCACAACTGGAGAACATTGTTAATTTGTCCTTCCTGTCACAGCTGCTGCTTTAGACACAGCTCCTCTTCCTCTGCAGCTAAAACAACAGTAGGCAGAATAAGGAGGAGGATGTGGAATATTTTTTTTTTTTATTTAACTAGGCAAGTCAGTTAAGAACAAATTCTTATTTGCAATGACGGCCTACCCCGGCCAAACCCGGACGACGCTGGGCCAATTGTGCGGCGCCCTATGGGACTCCCAATCACGACCGGATTGTGATACAGCCTGGTATCGAACCAGGGTCTGTAGTGACACCTCTAGCACTGAGATGCAGTGCCTTAGACCGCTGCGCCCCTCAGGAGCCTATGTCCGTGTGGGATCACAACTTGCCTGAGGTGGATATGATGAGCAAGGTTAGGCCTACTCAGTGGACAATGTCACACGTGTGCACATGCACGCAGACAGACACAAGCATGCATCCACGCACGTACTCACAGACACCCACTGAGTGGCCCCTGGGAGTCTTGCAATTAATTCATCAAGCAATGTATGAGTCAAATCAAAGCCTGTATTTTTCCTTTCATCCCCCTTATTACTGCCAGCCCATTAGATTTCAAACTGTACAAGTGTTTGTTTGTGTGTCATCATGAAGTCTGTATCCGTCTACACATCTGCTCTCCTGGCTCTGAAAGTGTACTTTCAAAAGTGGGGGATCTGGGCCTGTATTTCTCAAGTGTCTCAGAGTAGGAGTTTTGATCTAGAATCAGTATTGCCTTTTAAATCATAATAATTCAAACTATTATGGCCAAGGTAAACCTGATCCTAGATCAGCACTCCTATTCTGAGACACTTGATGAATTACTGGCCATGAGTGCAATACTGTCCCACCCATCACTCTTTACAGAAGTTTATTGTGAGTCTCAAGCAGACAAGTAGATGTATGGAACATCCCTGAAAAACATTGGGATAGTAAACACGAACACAATATTATGGCGGACCAAGGTCATATGGCATATCAAAAACCGATTTCACCTCTTTTTGTTTTAAAAATTCCAGATCATTCATATATATATATATATATATAGTTTGGACACCTAATCATTCAAGGGTTTTTCTTAATTTTTACTATTTTCTACATTGTAGAATAATAGTGAAGATATCAAAACTATGAAATAACATATGTAGTTACCAAAAAAGTGTTAAACAAATCAAAATATATTTTATATTTGAGATTCTTCAAAGTAGCCATCTTTTGCCTTGATGACAGCTTTGCACACTCTTGGCATTCTCTCAACCAGCTTCACCTGGAATGCTTTTCCAACAGTCTTGAAGGAGTTCCCACATATGCTTAGCACTTGTTGACTCACCCCAAACCATCTGAATTGGGTTGAGGTCAGGGGATTGTGGAGTCCAGGTCATCTGATGCAGCACTCCATCACTCTCCTTTTTGGTCAAACGGCCCTTACACAGCCTGGAGGTGTGTTGGGTCATTGTCCTGTTGAAAAACAAATGATAGTCCCACTAAGCCCAAACCAGATGGGATGGCGTATCGCTGCAGAATGCTGTGGTAGCCATGCTGGTTAAGTGTGCCTTGAATTCTAAATAAATCAGACAGTGTTACCAGCAAAGCACCCCCACACCATCACACCTCCTCCTCCATGCTTCTCGGTGGCAACCACACATGCAGAGATCATCCGTTCACCTACTCTGCGTCTCACAGAGACACGGCGGTTAGAACCAAAAATCTCAAATTTGGACTCATCAGACCAAAGGACAGATTTTCACCGGTCTCTTCTTCTTATTGGTGTCCTTTAGTAGTGGTTTCTTTGCAGAAATTCAACCATGAAGGCCTGATTCACGGAGTCTCCTCTGAACAGTTGACGTTGACATGTGTCTGTTAGTTGAACTCTGTGAAACATTTATTTGAGCTGCAATTTCTGAGGCTGGTAACTAATGAACTTATCCTCTACAGCAGAGGTAACTCTGGGTCTTCCTTTCCTGTGGCGGTCCTCATGAGAGCCAGTTTCATCATAGCACTTGATGGTTTTTGCGACTGCACTTTAAGAAACTTTCAAAGTTCTTGACATTTCCAGTCACCTGGAATGCATTTCAATTAACAGGTGTGCCTTCTTAATGCGTTTGAGCCAATCAGTTGTTTTGTGACAAGGTAGGGGGGTATACAGAAGATAGCCATATTATGGCAAGAACAGCTCAAATAAGCAAAGAGAAACGACAGTCCATCATTACTTTAAGACATGAAGGTCAGTCAATATGGAACATTAAGAACTTTTAAAGTTTCTTCAAGTGCAGTCACAAAAACCATCAAGCGCTATGATGAAACTGGCTCTCATGAGGACCATCACAGGAATGGAAGACCCAGTTACCTCTGCTGCCGAGGATAAGTTCATTAGAGTTCCAAGGGTCAGAAATTGCAGTCCAAATAAATGATTCACAGAGTTCAAGTAACAGACACATCTGAACATCAGGCCATGGTTGAATTGCTGCAAAGAAACCACTACTAAAAGGACACCAATAATAAGAAGAGACTTGCTTGGGCCAAGAAACACGAGCTATGGACATTAGACTGGTGGAAATGTGTCCTTTGGTCTGGAGTCCAAATTAGAATTTTTGATTCCAACCGCCATGTCTTTGAGAGACGCAGTGTGGGTGAATGGATGATCTCTGCATGTGTATTTCCCACTGTAAAGCATGAAGGAGGTGGTGTTATGGTGTGGGGGTGCTTTACTGGTGACACTGTCTGTGATTTATTTAGAATTCAAGGCACACTTAACCAGCATGGCTACCACAGCATTCTGCAGCGATACGCCATCCCATCTGGTTTGGGCTTAGTGGGACTATCATTTGTTTTTCAACAGGACAATGACCCAACACAACTACAGGCTGTGTAAGGGCTATTTTACCAATAAGGAGAGTGATGGAGTGCTGCATCAGATGACCTGGCCTCCACAATCCCCCGACCTCAACCAAATTGAGATGGTTTGGGATGAGTTGGACCGCAGAGTGAAGGAAAAGCAGCCAACAAGTGTTCAGCATATGTGGGAACTCCTTCAAGACTGTTGGAAAAGCATTCCAGGTGAAGCTGGTTGAGAGAATGCCAAGAGTATGCAAAGCTGTCATCAAGGCAAAGGGTGGCTATTTGAAGAATCTCAAATATATTTTGCTTTGTTTAACACTTTTTTGGTAACTACATGATTCCATATGTGTTATTTCATAGTTTTGATTTCTTCACTATTATTCTACAATGTAAAAAATAGTAAAAATAAAGAAACCCTTGATGAGTAGGTGTGTCCAAACTTTTGACTGGTAGAGTGTGTGTGTGTATATATATATATATATATATATATTTCATAATTCATAACATAAACGTCAGACTATCCTATCACATTCACGAGTCCCTTGGATTTCGGTTAAATAAACTAAAAGTTGCCTACCAAGGACAAAATATGACTGGTGGTTTACACTATCTTTACCCTCAGGAGTCACTCACTGCTCCTAAAAATACAGGCCTTCACTGCACTGTAATTTACAGGGCCTCGGGATACGTGAAGCATACAGTAAGTAGTAAACAGTAACAACAAGAATACCACGGCAATATTCAAATATAATGGGAGCCGTAGGCTTCACATGGGTGTAACTGTAGCGAATCACAAATATTCAGGAAACACCCATAGGCTAGGCTACCTATAGTACCACATACATCTCTCAGAAAGGTAGTCTAGGTAGACTACACAAACGAACGAATAATTGAATAGGCTAATACAAAATAGACATAGGCTACAGGAATGTACGAATCCTCTAATCATTTCTGGAGATATCGACTCATTGTTAACCATTAAAATGTACAGCACTTTCCTGAAGATTTAATCAATGACAACTTGCATATATATCTTTTTATTTTTTAGCTTGAATTGGCTACGTGTGGCACATTATAGCGATGAAGTATCAATTGAGCGACAACACAATGATTGAGCATTACAATAGCCTACTAGCCATCTTCAACAGAATATTAACTGATATGGAAAATGACATAATTTTATGGGAAGAAAACGTAAATGTGTCAGCACTGCAAATCCTCCATTCACACAGGCTTCGACAGGACGCCGCCTACATTTTACAACAAAATATAATATAATAAACATGAATGTACCCACTTTAGCCTTTCCAGTTCGCGTGTTGGATCAATTCACTTTAGTTTACCGGTTCAATTCCTCGTTTATATGTTTTAAATCCGTAAAAAACTGAAGTTGCTTAGCGCTCTCCTTTCTCTGTCCACCACTCCAGGCTCGTCTAGTTCTGTATAGTCCCCATCCTGAGCCGAGCATTCCAATATGGCTGACACGCAGGAACAACCGGCCCACAGTTGAAGCAACTATACCCCTCACAGGAAAATTGTGAAGCAGGCAGGCGTTAGAAAAACTGTAGCAGGCGGTGCCACACACTCACAAAACATTAATGTCGCCACACCTCGAGTGTTTCTTTAAAACATTATACTACTTCAACTGTTTCAAGTTATTGTGATTAATTTTGCGATGCCCCAGCAATTATTGTAACACGTGACATCAAAGGCCACAATGTAACGTTGTAAAACTTCAGAGGCTGACCCAGAAGTCGATATGTATAATGTTTTTTGTTGTTGACAATGTTGCAAAATATCTACTGTGAGCTACTAATGTAATAATCATTTATGCAGTACTGCATGTTATAGGCTACTGTATCACTTTGAACATAGCTGTTATTGCATATATTATAATCGATCTTCTTTCATTTTCTTTTTCATATTCAAAGGTCAGTTTTATTTAGTATTTATGTAATTTATGTGGTTGTGTGTGTGTATATGCGTGTGTATTTGACTGAATTACCAATATTGTTATCGTACTTCTCTGCACACAATTTGTTCACACGACACAAGTATGATTTTTCATCTCTAGTAGCAGGGGTTGCCCCTAAAGTAGCCTAGCTAGCTGACCTATCTAGGGTCATATTTCCCCACTCCAACCCTACCATTAGAGGACAAAGTAAAGTTGATGACATGATGTGTGCATTGGGGCAGCTAACACTGTGTGCATGCAGTTGAGTCAAGTTACCTGGAGACAATGTGTGATTTATGTATCAACAAAAAGGGCCACGATTTAGTAATTGCATCACCCTTCCCCCACATCAGAGGGGTGCAAGGCAAGCAGCACCTGTTCACTGGTAACCTGACTCTCCCTCTCATTCACCATTGAGGAAATCACAACCATGTTTTTTTTTGCTGGATTTCCACCACAAAGAGAAAATGTATGACTACTATCTTGTCATTACAGTGGTGATTCAATGCTTATCAAATCAAATCACATTTTATTTGTCACATACACATGTTTAGCAGATGTTATTGCGGGTGTAGCAAAATGCTTGTGCTTCTAGCTCCGACAGTGCAGTAATATCTAACAAGTAATATCTAACAATTTCACAACATATACCCTATACACACAGTAAGGAATGGAATTTAAGAATATATACATATATGGACAAGCAATGACAGAGTGGCATGGACTAAGATACAGTAGAATATTATAGAATAGAGTACACTATATACATATGAGATGAGTAGTGCAAGATATGTAAACATTATTAAAGTGACTACTGTTCCAGTGGCCAGTGATTTCAATAGGCAGCAGTCCTATATGGGTGTTGTGATAGATGTGCACTAACTGTGGTATCCATCCTATATATAAGGGAAACATAATGCCAACTCCATATGGTTAAGTGTGTGATACAGTATTTCTGAGTGTGATGACTCTTGATAAAAAGAGACTCAATGGAAATTCAATACAACTACCAGTACCCACCATGGCTTGAACTATGTACAGACGACATTTACCATAGCCAAGTATTTTGCCCATCAAATGGAAGGAATGGATACCGGTATACAGTAGATATGGTAGCAGAGTTCCATACATTTATCAAACACATAATAAATACCCCTCTCAGTTCAACTGCCACATACTGTGCATACATCCCTCTCTGCCAATAGCAAGTGGTTGTTCACTCAGCAGCACTCTGTTCTGACTCATAAAAAGAGGCAGATTCCTATTTGTCATGCACAATCACCCACACACTCACAGAGCCTGGAAAACTTCCTAACGGAGTAACCCTTGGCATAGGGGATTATCTAATCCTCATGATTCACAAAAAACTGGTTTACAGGAAACAAATGACAGAGACCCAGATCAGGACAATCGTGCTCCCAAGGCCATCTTCCATAATGGTTTGCTAAATTGGTAATGCAGTTTCCCTGGGTACGATATAATCAAAGTAATTTTCATCTTCAATATTTCATGGCCTTTTACTGTAAATACAAATAAAGCATGTGAAAAACACCCCCACTATCAGCCATTATGAAGCAACACTATATGAGCATCAACCAGACCTTACACTGCACAGTAGCTAGGTCCCAAATGGCATCCTATTCCCTATATCGTGCATTACTTTTAAAGTAGTGCACTGTGTTGGGAACAGTGGAGGCTGCTGAGGGAGGATGGCTCATAATAATGGCTGGAACGGAGCGAATGGAATGGCATCAAACATATGGAAACCATGTGTTTGATGTTGTTGATACCTTACCACTAATTCCGCTCCAGCCATTACCAGCCCACACACATATGACTTATTCTGGGAATTGATATCTACCTGTGTGGGGAGGAGTCTTCCTGTTATATACTGTACATGGGTTGTGTATAAATTATGTCATGATGTGTGTTGGACTAATCTTATTGCTGTCACTGAATCTGTGGGTAGCTACCTGCATTGGGCCAATAACCAAAAGGTTTCTGGTTCAAATCCCTGAGCTGACTAGGTAAAAAAAAAGATCTGTTGAATTGTGCCCTTGAGCAAGGCACAACCCTAATTGTGACTGTAAATCGCTCTGGATGAGCGTCTGCTAAATGACTATAATGTATAGATACTTGATTCAACAGGGCCCCTGCGTAATGTAATCCTAGTATTATAGATTCAACCTCAAAAGGTCTTAGACGTCCCTGGATTCAATTACTACAACTAATAGTAAAGTTGTAGTTATGATCAAAAGCGATGGAATTTGAAACCCATTGTGTCCATCCCAATCTGGGGAAACCACTGTTTAAAAAAAATCCCCAATCTCTAATCTACCGCTGGATTTAGAATGTGGTCTGTGATTGTTTCTGTGCTGCATTGTATGAGCACAGAGAGAAGGATTTGTAGAGTTGACAACAGTTGACAAAAAATTGTAATGCTCTGGCATTTGGATGATGACTTTAATGATTTTGACATCTGCTGGTGTGATTAATGAGAGGATTCTCAGATGACGTAGATACGGGCTTGCCTGTAGACAGCATAACGGGATTTCATACAAATCTGAATAAAGACTGTACTGCATGAAGGCAGCCAAATTATTACATCTGATTGAATATTGAATATGGGCCAAGTGGGTTAAAATGTTATAATCCTCAAGATAAAAAAAAAAATGGTAGTATAGTTGAATATTGTACTGTATTTTTGTTGTGCTGTGGAATGAATCAAAATACTATATGAAAAGGTACTGTAGGTTTTCAGCCGTTTTCAGAAGATTGGCAGGGACTCAGCTGTCCTGGTGTTAGGGGGAAGCTTGTTCCACCGAATCGCTATATACAGAAATTAAAGTATTTAGTTTCAGTCAATACAATGTCAATCTCATGACATGTAGCCTTCACAAACTGAGTTCACAGAGGACAGTTCTGGGATGTGAAGTAAAATGTAATAGAGGATGCTATACGGTCCCCTGGTGGCAAAAGGCATATTACAAAATGATGTACTATGAAGAATATACAAGAAACACTAATATTTATGGAAAATATTTCACTTATTCATTTAAATGTTAGAAGTAGTTTGTGTCATGTTACATGAAGACTGAGACAAATAAATTGAGAGGACAAGTCTTCATTCATAAACATTTTAATAATTTTAATAAACATTTTAATAATACCAGTAAAATATACTAAAATGCATAGTTTGGGTTGAGTGTATTAAACATACAAAACATACAAAAAGGTATATTTACAAGAAAAAGCACATACAAATAAGTATTTCATATTTAATGTATGTGAGTAACTTGTGAAGCATCCCAATATAAAAAGCTAACATCTAAGGTTCCTCCTTCGATGTAAATAATACAATGAACAGTACACTGCTTAAAGGCAAATTCCACCCAAAAACTATCTTTTGGTATTTGTTTAATTAGTCCATTGTTGATATAGTCCCAAAATGCATTATACCGGCAGTATTTCAGTATTTTTAAAGTTATACATCTTGAAAAATTTATTTCTGACATGCAAAACATTTTGGGATTATATCAACAATGGACTAATGAAACAAATACCAAAATAGTTTTTGGGTGGAGTTTTCCTTTAACATAAACAATAAGGTACACGTGTTTAAAACTATAGGTTGGAAAGATTATTCCAGTTGTTTTAAGTGTACAGAGCAGCAATAAAATATCCTATGCAATCAGGTGGACTTTGGGTTGGTCATCCATCCACAGGCAGTCACAAATCACAACAAGAGTCTATTTCCCAACTGTTCATAATCACCTGGGTTATTAGGGCACACCGTAGCAAAACATTTTTCAATGGTAAACCAAAATGAGTCCCTGTTTCAGTCCGTTTTCTACCGTTTGGTGCCTAATGAACACGATCCTGTTCTGACCCCCAGCTACCAGGAGGCAGTATTGAATTTCCACTCCAGTTACTCCACTTTCCAGATGGCTATCTTCCCGTCCTCGTGGGCAGCCCCACTCAGCACATAGCGGTCCTCTGCGGAGCACAGTGCCTGGACACAGTCTGTGTGAGCTACCAGCTCCTTCTCCACTGTGTGTCGCTGAGTGTCCACTACGTAGATCTTCCCCCTGGACTTCCCCGAGCTCCACCCTTGGCCTCCAACCCAGATCTGACAGGACCGGTTCAAATATTTTGTTTCATCACCCTAAATGAGACATCTCATCTCTGGTTTTAAGACATGCTGAATTGACAATTGACCTCATGTCAGAATGCATTGTGATTTGAATGATCTATTCTGTATTTTAAAAAGTGGGAAGGGGAACCAACGCTGATTCGAGCCTGTTAATACTTTAACTAGGTTAAACTTTCACATAATAGAATACCTAAATACAGAAGTAAGTAATGTAACTAATCCAGTAGAGTACTCAAGCAATGCCATCTTATAGAAACTACAGTAGAGTAGAATTGAAGCGCACTCATTTTCCACCTACAGTGCAGTCTACAGACAGTCTCACCTGGTTTTTGACCTTGATAAGGCAGGTGACGCCTGCACAGTCAGGCAGCTGGATCCTCTGGAAGGGCTTGGTGGGCTCCCTGAGGTGCCACACACACAGCTCCCCTACGTCTATACAGGCCGTCCACAGCTGCTCCCTCTGAAACATGTATAGCACACAACACCACTCCCTCATCACCCCCATACCATGTCAAAGTAGCACAGACCTCACTGATCCCAGTAGGCTATATGGAAACTATGACATACTATGTGGTTCGAAATTATTGACACCCTTGATAAAGATGAGCAATAATGAGTGTATCAAATAATTCAAACACTGAGCTATATTGTATGCAAAAAAAATTGGGAAATTATATTATACAATTGCTCAGAGAAAGATATTCTGTTTAACAAGTAATACTTTTTTTCCTCAAAAAGGTAGGCGTAAAAATGGACACCCCTAAAGATTCTAATAAATAAAGTAGTCAAAAGTGTAGTATTTGGTCCCATATTCCTAGCACGCAATGACTTGATCAAGCTTGTGACTCTACAAACTTGTTGGATGCATTTGCAGTTCGTTTTGGTTTCGTTTGATTATTGTGTGCCCAATAGAAATGAAAAGGTAAATAATGCATAGTGTCATTTTAGAGTCACTTTTATTGTAAATAAGAATAGTAGATGTTTCTAAACACTTCTACATTAATGTGGACGCTACCATGTTTACGGATAATCCTGAATGAATCGTGAATAATGATGAGTGAGAAAGAGGGTCAAAGATCATACCCCCAACACATGCTAACCTCCTCTGTTATTGGAAATGGTGAGAGGTTAGCATGTCTTTGGGGTATGATCTGTGATCCTCATCATTATTCACGATGGTGTCAATAATTTCGGGCCCTACTGTACAGTATGCAGAGATGGACTTAGGGATTCTGGGCACTGGCCAGCTGGGCTAGTAGACCACGATTTCTACTAGTCCGGGTAACATTTGGGACCAAAATCAATGCAATTTGAGATTTGATTTTTTTTTTTTGACTAGCCTGGAGGGTTTTGAAAAGTACTAGCCTCAGCTCAATTAATTTCCATCCCTGTATATTTTGTATCACATATACTGTACATACAGTGCCTTGCAAAAGTATTCAGGCCCCTTGGATTTCTTCACATTTATTGTGTCTATAGTATTCTCTCTGGTATGCAATCTTGTTTCCACTCAGGTTATGGATGTCTCACTGCAACCTTAAAGGTCCTAAATGACATCCCCATTGCCCTTGATTCTAAGCAATGTTGTGCTGCTATTTTTATTGACTTGGCCAAAGCTTTTGATACTGTAGACCATTCCATCCTTGTCGGCCGGCAAGGGAGTATTGGTGTCTCTGAGGGGTCTTTGGCCTGGTTTGCTAAGTACCTCTCTCAAAGAGTGCAGTGTATAAAGTCAGAACATCTGCTATCTCAGCCACTGCCTGTCACCAAGGGAGTACCCCAAGGTTCGATCCTAGGCCCCACGCTCTTCTCAATTTACATCAATAATATAGTTCAGGCAGCAGGAAGCTCGCTCATCCATTTATATGCAAATGATAGTCTTATACTCAGCTGGCCCCGTCCCCGGACTTTGTGTTAAACGCTCTACAACAAAGCTTTCTTAGTGTCCAACAAGCTTTCTCTGCCCTTAACCTTGTTCTGTACACCTCCAAAACAAAGGTTGTGGTTTGGTAAGAAGAATGCCCCTCTCCCCACCGGTGTGATTACTACCTCTGAGGGTTTAGAGCTTGAGGTAGTCACCTCATACAAGTACTTGGGAGTATGGCCAGATGGTACACTGTCCTTCTCTCAGCACATATCAAAGCTGCATGCTAAGGTTAAATCTAGACTTGATTTCCTCTAACATAATCGCTCCCGTTTCACCCCAGCTGCCAAACTAACCCTGATTCAGATTACCATCCTACCCATGATAGATTACAGAGACGTAATTTATAGATTGGCAGGTAAGGGTGCTCTCGAGCGGCTAGATGTTCTTTACCATTCGGCCATCAGATTTGCCACCAATGCTCCTTATAGGACACATCACTGCACTCTATACTCCTCTGTAAACTGGTCATCTCTGTATACCCGTCGCAAGACCCACTGGTTAATGCTTATTCACAAAACCCTCTTAGGCCTCACTTCCCCCTATCTGAGATACCTACTGCAGCCCTCATCCTCTACATACAACACCCGTTCTGCCAGTCACATTCTGTTAAAGGTCCCCAAAGCACACACATCCCTGGGTCGCTCCTCTTTCCAGTTCGCTGCAGCTAGCGACTGGAACAAGCTGCAAAAAACACTCAAACTGGACCGTTATCTCTATCTCTTCATTCAAAGACTCAATCATGGACACTCTTACTGACAGTTGTGGCTGCTTCACGTGATGTATTGTTGTCTTTACCTTCTTGCCCTTTGTGCTGTTGTCTGTGCCCAATAATATTTGTGCCATATCTTGTGCTGCTACCATGTTGTGCTGCTGCCATGTTGTTTTCATGTTGGGTTGCTACCTTGCTGTGTTGTTGTCTTAGGTCTCTCTTTATGTAGTATTTAGATACATGTACAGTGGGGGAAAAAAGTATTTAGTCAGCCACCAATTGTGCAAGTTCTCCCACTTAAAAAGATGAGAGAGGCCTGTAATTTTCATCATACGTACACGTCAACTATGACTGACAAATTGAGGAAAAAAAATCCAGAAGATCTCATTGTAGGATTTTTAATGAATTTATTTGCAAATTATGGTGGAAAATAAGTATTTGGTCACCTACAAACAAGCAAGATTTCTGGCTCTCACAGACCTGTAACTTCTTCTTTAAGAGGCTCCTCTGTCCTCCACTCGTTACCTGTATTAATGGCACCTGTTTGAACTTGTTATCAGTATAAAAGACACCTGTCCACAACCTCAAACAGTCACACTCCAAACTCCACTATGGCCAAGACCAAAGAACTGTCAAAGGACACCAGAAACAAAATTGTAGACCTGCACCAGGCTGGGAAGACTGAATCTGCAATAGGTAAGCAGCTTGGTTTGAAGAAATCAACTGTGGGAGCAATTATTAGGAAATGGAAGACATACAAGACCACTGATAATCTCCCTCGATCTGGGGCTCCACGCAAGATCTCACCCCGTGGGGTCAAAATGATCACAAGAACGGTGAGCAAAAATCCCAGAACCACACGGGGGGACCTAGTGAATGACCTGCAGAGAGCTGGGACCAAAGTAACAAAGCCTACCATCGGTAACACACTACGCCGCCAGGGACTCAAATCCTGCAGTGCGAGACGTGTCCCCCTGCTTAAGCCAGTACATGTCCAGGCCCGTCTGAAGTTTGCTAGAGTGCATTTGGATGATCCAGAAGAGGATTGGGAGAATGTCATATGGTCAGATGAAACCAAAATAGAACTTTTTGGTAAAAACTCAACTCGTCGTGTTTGGAGGACAAAGAATGCTGAGTTGCATCCAAAGAACACCATACCTACTGTGAAGCATGGGGGTGGAAACATCATGCTTTGGGGCTGTTTTTCTGCAAAGGAACCAGGACGACTGATTCGTGTAAAGGAAAGAATGAATGGGGCCATGTATCGTGAGATTTTGAGTGAAAACCTCCTTCCATCAGCAAGGGCATTGAAGATGAAACGTGGCTGGGTCTTTCAGCATGACAATGATCCCAAACACACCGCCCGGGCAACGAAGGAGTGGCTTCGTAAGAAGCATTTCAAGGTCCTGGAGTGGCCTAGCCAGTCTCCAGATCTCAACCCCATAGAAAATCTTTGGAGGGAGTTGAAAGTCTGTGTTGCCCAGCGACAGCCCCAAAACATCACTGCTCTAGAGGAGATCTGCATGGAGGAATGGGCCAAAATACCAGCAACAGTGTGTGAAAACCTTGTGAAGACTTACAGAAAACGTTTGACCTTTGTCATTGCCAACAAAGGGTATATAACAAAGTATTGAGAAACTTTTGTTATTGACCAAATACTTATTTTCCACCATAATTTGCAAATAAATTCATTAAAAATCCTACAATGTGATTTTCTGGAGAAAAAAAATCTCAATTTGTCTGTCATAGTTGACGTGTACCTATGATGAAAATTACAGGCCTCTCTCATCTTTTTAAGTGGGAGAACTTGCACAATTGGTGGCTGACTAAATACTTTTTTCCCCCCACTGTATTTCTTTAAATCCCAGCCCCCGTCCCCGCAGGAGGCCTTTTGCCTTTTTGTAGGCTGTCTTTGTAAAAAAGAATTTGTTCTTAACTGTCTTGCCTAGTTAAAATAAAAAAATAAAAAAATCAATAAAAAATGTGTTACAAAGTGGGATAAAAATGTATTTATACTGAACAAGAATATAAACACAACATGTTTTATGAGCTGAAATAAAAGATCACAGAATTGTACCATATGGACAAAGATCTTATTTCTCTCAAATTCTGTGCACAAATTTGGTTACATCCTTGTTAGGTTTGGCATGAATAGGTTTGGCATGTCAAGAAGCTGATTAAACAGCATGATCATTACACAGGTGCACGTTGTGCTGGGGACAATAAAAGCCCACTCTAAAATGTGCCGTTTTGTCACACAACACAATGCCACAGATGTCTCAAGTTTTGAGGGAGCGTGAAATAGGAATGCTGACTGCAGGAATGTCCACCAGAGCTGTTGCCAGATAATTAAATGTTCATTTCTCTACCATAAGCTGCCTCCAATGTCGTTTTAGAGAATTTGGAAGTACGTCCAACTGGCCTCACAACCGCAGACCACGTGTAACCACACCAGCCCAGGACCTCCACATCCGGCTTCTTCACCTGCAGATCGTCTGAGACCAGCCACCCGGACAGCTGATGAAACTGTGGGTTTGCACAACCGAAGAATTTCTGCACAAACTGTCAGAAACCATCTCCGGGAAGCTCATCTGTGCGCTCATCGTCCTTACCAGGGTCTTGACCTGACTACAGTTCGGTCTTGTAACCGACTTCAGTGGGCAAATGCTCACCTTCGATGGCCACTGTCATGCTGGAGAAGTATGCTCTTCACGGATGAATCCCGGTTTCAAATGCACCGGACAGATGGCAGACAGCATGTATGGCGTCATGTGGGCGAGCAGTTTGCTGATGTCAGTGTTGTGAACAGATTGCCCCATGGTGGGGTTATGGTATGTGCAGGCATAAACTACGGGCAACAAACACAATTGCAATTTATCGATGCAGCTTGAAGGCACGGTATCTCTGTGCAGAGATCCTGAGGCCCATTGTCGTGCCATTTATTTCAGCTCATTAAACATTGGACCAACACTTTACATGTTGCATTTATATTTTTGTTCAGTATATGTACTTGCACACACACAGACACGGGTGGGGTTGTTCAAAAAGGGGGGAAATGTTATTGTTTTATATCGACTGAATTGCCTTTGTGACTATACACTGAGTATACCAAATATTAGATACACCTTCCGAATATTTTGCCCTCAGAACAGCCTCAATTCGTCGGGGCATGGACTCTACAAGGTGTCGAAAGCATTCCACAGGGATACTGGCTCATGTTGGCTCCAATGCTTCCTACAGTTGTGTCAAGTTGGCTGGATGTCCTTTGGGTGGTGGACCTTTCTTGATACACATGGGAAACTGTTGAGCATGAAAAACCCAGCAGCGTTGCAGTTCTTGACACAAACCGCTGCGCCTGGCACCTACTACTACCATACCTCGTTCATAGGTACTTAAATGTTTTGTCTTGCCCATTCACCCCCTGAATGGCACACTTACACAATCCATGTCTCAATTGTCTTAAAAATCCATCCTTCTTTAACCCGTCTCCTCCCCTTCATCTACACTGACTGAAGTGGATTTAACAAGTGACATCAATAAGGGATCATAGCTTTCAGCTGGATTCACCTGGTCATTCTATGTCATGGAAAGAGCAGGTGTTCTTAACATTGTGTGTGAGTGTGAGTGAGTGAGTGAGTGAGTGAGTGAGTGAGTGAGTGAGTGAGAGAGAGAGAGAGAGAGAGAGGAAGCGATTCCCAAACCTTCCGTAACAAAGCCATCACCTACAGAGAGATTAACTTGGAGAAGAGTCCCCTAAGTAAGCTGGTCCTGGGGCTCTGTTCACAAACACAAACAGACCCCACAGAGCCCCAGGACAACAACAACAACATTAGACCCAACCAAATCATGAGAAAACAAAAAGAGAATTACTTGACACATTGGAAAGAACAAACAAAAAAACAGCGCAAACTGGAATGCTATTTGGCCCTAAACAAAGAGTACACAGTGGCAGAATACCTGACCACTATGACTGACCCAAACTTAAGGAAAGCTTTGACTATGAACAGACTCAGTGAGCATAGCCTTGCTATTGAGAAAGGCCGCCGTAGGCAGACCTGGCTCTCAAGAGAAGACAGGCTATGTGCACACTGCCCACAAAATGAGGTGGAAACTGAGCTGCACTTCCTAACCTCCTGCCAAATGTATGATCATATTAGAAACACATATTTCCCTCAGATTACAGCGATCCACAAAGAATTCGAAAACAAACCCAATTTTGATAAACTCCCTTATCTACTGGGTGAAAAACCACAGTGTGCCATCACAGCTGCAAGATTTGTGACCTGTTGCCACAAGAAAAGGGCAACCAGTGAAGAACAAACACCATTGTAAATACAACCCATATTTATGTTTATTTATTTTCCCATTTGTACTTTAACTATTTGCACATTGTTACAACACTGTATATATACACATAATATGACATTTCAAATGTCTTTATTCTTTTGGAACTTCAGAGTGTAATGTTTACTGTTAATATGTATTGTTTATTTCACTTTTGTTTACTATCTTACTTCACTTGCTTTGGAAATGTTAACATACGTTTCCCATGCCAATAAAGCCCTTAAATTGAGAGAGAGAGGGAGAGAGATCTCTATATGCACACAGACACAAACCATTACTACCCACCTCATGGTAGAGCAGGAGGCTGCTGAAGGCAGTGGGGGAGCCACGGAGCTGCTCAGGAAGGGAGATCTTGCGATGCAACGTTCCGTTTTTCCACACCTCCATAATGCAGTCTCTGGCACCTGAATGGCGTAGGAGGAAAAACAATCACAAATCACAATTATAACAATCAATAAGAAAGTAGTATAGTACAGCCAGAAGTCCTTTTAAGTACCCTATTTTTATGTTTGTACGTGTACTTACAGCACCATAGGGTTCCATTGCAGAGCTGAACAGACTGGAGACGGTCGCAGGCGAGACGGAACTGTTTCCTCACCTGTAGTGTGGACACGTCCCATACTATCACTGTACCCTCCGCACTGCAGGAGTATGCAACCTTGGGGCTGCAACAGAGAATACATGGAAAGACTAACGTTATTGATACCACAGAGAAGAATCAGCAGGGTCGTGTTCAGTGTGGCACACAGTAGCGAAATGTTTTTAAAAACTGAAAGAGCGTTTGTTATTGGACACGTTCAGATTGTCGCTCCCTGCTTCAGTCCATTTTCCTCCTTTTGGTGCCTAATGAACACGACCCAGGCATAAATAAAGAATGTCATATTTAAAACAATTTTACTTTATCATGCGGTCCTAAAAAGACGTCTCTCTTTGGATATGATGCCAGTAGTAGCTGTATGTTTAACTTAACTTCCCTATATTACATTTCATCTTACAAGGACAGTGCTCATTAATCAACATTACCTGTTTGATGCATGTCATCGTCACCCCTCACCTGTATTTCTCGCAGCGTTCCCCTAGGGACAGCCCTGTGACCTCACTGCGGTGGTCTGTCAACTGCTTGTTACAGGACATGCTGCGGGTGCTGATTATGTAAATGACGGAATCCTGGGAGCCAATCCACACCTGCTGCCGGTCCACTCCCAGCATGCAGTTCTGGACAAAACAACAAAACATAGAATCTCGGGACCATGTAACCAGACAGGCTGGCCTGCCCATTTCAAACCAGGCGGCATGCCTATTTCAAACCATGGCAGCAAGACATTTCAGACATAAAACACAATTTCAAACCGTACCATAGTAGCAGGTTCAAGCAGGTCATTTCAGTCATAACATCCTGTACCACCAGGGGTCAGCAGAATCCCTTGAGTTATAGTAATTAACACTAACACTAAATATAGTCCAAATGGGACCAAGCAGACGATGACTAACTGTGGTAAGTGAATTACTACTGCTTTTTGATCATTCTATAATTGTCCTTCTCCCTTCAATTTCCCTACTCCTTTAAAATAGCGGTCCCATCCCCATTCCACATCCACAGCCTTACCACTCGCGAAGTTCCCACTTGGACTTGGTTCTCTTGCATGGACCAGCTGGCTGCATCAAACACCACCACCTTCCCGTCGCTCAGGGCACACCACAGTTTGGGGTTCCCATCACCTTCAGAGTCAGACGACACGCCCAGCTGGCCTGAGAATGTAAACAAAAATATTGCTGAATGCTGGAACGCCTGAATCCGCATTTTCTATGCTCCTACTTCTATTGTCCTACAAGCATGGCAGAATATAATAATATGCCATTTAGCAGACGCTTTTATCCAAAGCGACTTACAGTCATGAAAAGTTGTATTGTTAGTGATCCAATTTACATTTTAGTCATTTAGCAGATGCTCTTATCCAGAGCGACTTCCAATTAGTGAGTGCATAAATTTTTCATACTGGCCCGCATGGGAATCTCTCTCACATACTGAAAAAGTCAATATACTGTAGGTCTGATTCAAATACAGTAAGTAGCTCATGGTTTGACTAGTAGAGATGGTAACTATACCGTTAAATAAAAATAAATAAAAAATAAATCACCCTGATGAAGGCTGTGAAGCTGAAATGCATTTAATATTCTTTATTTATAATAAATACGTATATTCTAATACATCTAGTGTCTTACAAGCAAAGCTGAATATCTCTCACACACACACACTGATGAAGTGTAAACATTTACAGTTTACAGAACTTTTCAGACATCAATCCATATTATGGAATACAATCTAAATCTGTCCACCTTTAGGCTAGCTGTTCTATTTCCTCTTAACATTTATTTTTCAAATCATAATAGGAAAAAGAAAAGAAAACTTGATGTGTCACATCCTCCCTTTCATGGGGAGGAGTGATGAACAGAACAGAAAGGAGGAAGGGAGGAGGGAATCTGGACACGGGCCAAGGGTAAATCAGTGGCCTATATTTAGTCCCTGAGAGCTGGGACTTCAATGGTGCTCTGTGCTGAAGCAGCATTATTACTTATGCCTAGAATAGTGGTTCTCAAACCGCTCCTTGGGGACCCCCAGACGTTTCACAAGTTTGTTGTAGCCCTGAACTAGAACTAGCTCCCCTGATTCACCTATTCGAGGGCTTGATGATTAGTTGACAAGTTGAATCAGGAGTGCCAGCTCTGGAATTGTTCAAAGACATGGAATGGCTTGGGGGTCTCCGAGGAGAGGTTTGAGAACCTCTGGCCTAGAGGGTCATGTCCAGGCCCCGTACCATGGCCGCTACCATGCCACTTTCTAATTGGATACAGATGGACCGATCAGGGGGAAGGCTCAGACAAACACATCACTGTCTGTGAGAGGACCTGGGGAAGGAGTAGGGAGAAGGGACACTGTGTTAAACAAAGGGACACTGTGTCTTAACCCAGATGTCACTAGGTTAAGACACAGGCTCCTTTACACAGAGAACCTTGATTTTAGCTAAAGTGCTGGGACTGAGGAGCCTTGCAGACTAAAGCATATTTATTATGATCTGCCCAGTCAAAACACGTTTTGAGACGTACTATTGAGTCTGAGAAAAACACTATTTCAAACGATTGATGTTAGAAACATATGTTTCAGATGTGAAATTAATATAGAAGTCAGAATCAAACATCTTATTGTGTCAGATATTGTGTAATACAGGTCTGTGTAATAAAATCTAGACATCTGTGGTTGGAGAAGTAGGAACAATGACAGTGATTATATGGTGACTACTATATGAGTCTACTTTCAGTAAACACTGCATGAAACTAAGGATGAAAGTAAGGAACAGAACAGGAAGTGGTTGGTGGTGATGCGTTGTGAAAATCTGCGCCTCATTATTTGTTTAAGAGGCTGTAAAATAAATTAAAACAACGCCTCTGGCCCTTTCTGCCAAGCCTCCTCCTGTAACCTGACACTGTCACCGTCACACTGTCACGGTCCTAGCAGCAGTAGGGAGTGTGACAGACCTGGGTTCAAATACCATTTTAAATCATTTCAAATACTTTAGCAGTGCTTGATTGCCTGTTGCAATAGAATAGTCCCAAAAGTGCAAACCCCACCGACCTGGCACTCAAGGCAGATTAAAAACAAACACACAAAGTATTTGAACGATTATTAAATAGTATTTGAACCCAGGTCTGGAATGTGACATTTGTTACTAGTACACAGACAACCTGACTCTCATGTGTTGTTGTCGTGCAATACCTCGACTGCAGAAGACAGATTTGAAGTCTACTACCATTATAGTTATGATCTGAGGAGTAGTGTCTGTGAGGGTACGTGGGATGTCCTAGACTGGAGGAGAGGTTGAAGTGGGGTTGAATGGGAAATACCAGCAGCACCTACTTGATTTACTGAGCATTCAGTAGGGTATTTATAGTACTGGGAAATCATACAACAGATATGTAGTGTTACCAGTTTGTTGGATAGGAACTGAATGGTGTCTGATGTCAGCTCTAGTTTGACGCTCCACGTCATGACTGTTACCTTCCTTTGAGATTGACAGTGTGCCTGAGAGTTTACCTGGGGTGTAGAGCAGAACATCTACCGCCTGGGGGCTAGTCAAGTCCAGAGATGGGTTGATCTTGTGCTTCAAGGTTTCTGACGTGGTTTTAGGGACCATCATCGGGACTGCTCAGGATGGAGAGAAAGGTCAGAGGTCAACGTTTGAATTGCATTAGAAACAAGACTCTTATAAACATGCACTTTCTGTAAAGCTATTCATTTCAATGACCTAATATGTTGAATTTTTTGGTATGATCTGATGTTTTTCCAGTGTCTGTTTGTCATGCAAAAATATCAACTTTGGGAGATACAAGCTGTTTAAACCTAATCAGAGTTCCATAAGCAATCTCAGTTGCCATACCTTCCAGTTTCATTCTGTCAAAGTGTGCCAGCTTGGTTGCAGCAAAAATAGCCTTTTGTGACTGCAGACAGCCAACCACTGCATCCATCAACAGGGCGTTGGTCAGAGCCTGCTGCATATACTGGGGGTCCTGAGAGAGATCGAGAGAGTAGGAGAGGAAGAGAGAGCGAAAGAAAAAGAGAAACAATGCAGATTAGAGATTATATTCATATGTATATGAATTATGATGAACGTCCCACATTCTCTGCATACTCCAGATGTACAAAAGAGTCTGTTTCCCATGACATCATACTGACGTCAACATGAAAAAGAAGAAAAAAGCCAAATCTCTCTAGGGCCAGTAGTTTGTAAACCTGATGGACTGGCTCTTACAGCAACTCCATGGCATGGTGTTGGGGGAGGCTAGCCTGGTGCCAGATCTGTTTGTTCTGTCTTACCAACTCCTTGCCTAGTATAGTTATTGTTATTGTTATGCCACGACAGCACAAACAGATCCGGAGCTAGGCTAGGTGGAGGCAGCAGGGGATGAGGCCTTAATTATGCGGTCTTTCCAGTGATAACAGAGAAGACGACAATACGTGAGTGATATGGGCCGGGAGCCAGAAGTGTCCATGTTGTTTCATGTAGTTTAATAGCAGAAACTGAAGGCTGGAGAGTAGTGCAGACTTTGGACTGGCTGAACAATAGAGCCCATATGAAACTCCATAGCTCCACCTCTTCCATGGAATGTCAACCACACCCACTGAGCTACAGTCTAATTTGCCAGAGAGGCCCAGGGTGGGATCAGGAAAGAATGGTTTTAGTGCCAACGTTGGCCATCTGTGCTACTGAAGAAAAACTCCCTTCATAGTGTAGCTACATACTAGGCATACGTAAATACATAGTCGTATGCAGAGCGAGATAGCGAGAGTGAGAGAAAATATGTCCCAATTATCGCTCCTTCCACCCAAAAGGGTGTCCTTGTTCACTTCCATTTACTGATTTGAAAGGAAATGTCTGGTACAGTATAAGACATACGGTGAAATAAGGCCCATGCCTTCACCAACCCAACTCCTAGAAATGTGGGAAGTAGTGAACGAGTGCACAATTCAGGAAGAATTGGATATGATTGGCCCAGAGACAGAGAGATTAACAAAGTTTCCAGTCCATTTTGACATCCTACCTTGTGGTCGTCGGCCATCTTCCTTCCAGCCCACATCTCCTTGACCATGAGGTGCCAGAGGTCAACCTCTGACTTCAGGTTGACCTCGAACGTCTCCTTCCTCAGGGTGGTCTTGATCTTCAGAGATGGGATCCTCAGCAGTAGGAAGGGAGCAGAGGAGATCTTCACCTCCTGAGGTACAACAGCCAACCGGTTATTCACTAGCCTGGTCCCACATCTGTTTGTGCTGTATAGCCAACTCCTATGGTTGTAAAGACCACAGATCTGGGACCAGTTATTCACCTAACACCATCTTTGAAATTCATTTTCTAATATAATATTTGGTAACACTTTGTATGATGGTACACATGTATAAAGCCTTATGAATGTATTTATAGTGCCTTATGACATACTTACAGTGCATTGTAACACTTGCTATAAGCAATCATAACATGGATAGAGCCAGGAAAATGTCCTGTTCCTCAATGATATGACAGTACATGAAATACAGTGTTTTAGGGAACAGATCCAGCTGCATAGTAAAGCATAGATGACATATCTATAAGCACATAAAACATTATTTATTTTATTATTGTATAGCTTAATGGAGGGATGGGCAACTTTGATCGGGGTGGGGGCCACAAAAAATCTGAACTGCGTACCCACATGTGCATACATCAAAGCAAGTTTGCTGCAATTCTTCACATTTTGCCATGGGGCCGAGAGAAGATTGTGCAATTTTATTAAACAAATCATGCAATTCTACTCATATTGACATGGGGCGGAGAGAAATGTTTGCAGTTTTAATATGATATCTGAGTGAGACTGACTAACAAAATCAAATGGGGCACCTCGGCCGGTAATTCAACCATGTTAAGTTTAGATAGCTGGCCGCTTCCAATCTAAAAATGTTAGCTGACATGGGCTAATTGAATGACTATCAGTGATTGACATAAGAGAAAAACTGTTGACGCACAACCAAATTTCTAAATTGCACCTTGTGTATTCTACTATTCTAACTTGCAACAGTAAGTTGAGACCCCGACAGAGTTAATACATTTATTTTTATTTATTTTTAATATATACTTATTTTGTCATTATTGATCCGAGGGCCTTCAAAAGGTCACCAGTTGCCCATCCCTGGCTTAATGTATTCATATACTGTAGTAATATCTATATAAGTGTCTAGTATCATGAATGATATTCAGTATATCACATAAAGTGTAGTAGGAACGTAGATCCATTAGGTCCTAACTCGCCTCAATGTCTCTGAACTTGGTGACCTCCATGTACCCGGGTCGTCCTTCGGTCAGCAAGAACAGCCGTCTCTGTGTCATGGCGATCTTGCCCACGCCGTGGCTGGTCTTGACCGAAGAGGACAGCTTGAACACACACTCGTTAGCCTCCAGGTGCTCCAGGGCCGAGGCCGGCAGGGCCACTTCCTGAGCCTCGGCCTCCGTCTCCTTCCAGAAGGTGTAGAACACTCGGAAGATCTCCGGGTCCACCTGTTTCTGCTGGCCTACAGAAGGAAGTCTACAGTTAGGGCTGCAAAAATTCCTAAAACTTCACCCAAATTCCCTGTTTTTTCCCCGTTTTGAAATCTAGTTAGAATAATTCCATGTTGGAGGATTCCCTTGCAGATTGTTTATTCCTGATTCCAGAAATCATCAATTTCTGGGAAAATCTGGGTATTTTGGGAAAGTTTAAGGAATTGTGCAACCTTTGGAGCAGTTTACAGTCACTGTACTTCACAATGATTCAAAACAATGTAATCAATGAGCTAGGATGGAAAGGTGATAAGCTAGCAGGGTTGGGGAAGGAGTTATATTATTAGGAACCACATTACACAGCCTTTTTTTGGTTGGTTGGTGGAGAAAGTCCATAGTGTGTGGGTTCACTGGAGCAAGAGATTCACACAAAGCTCACTGGACGTTAAGGCCGGGACGATACCAGTATCACAATATTTTTTCCATGCCGAAATTGAAAACACAAAGCAGACTAAACTCTTTGGTCCCTGCACGCACCCCACACCTGGAGTTCCAGGTCTCAGGCAGCCTCTGGAACTGCCGTTCTGCTGCCAACAAGGCTGACTTCATCCCAGCCTATGCTAACCTCCAGTCCCTCGACTTCCTGGCGCTGACGGAAACATGGATTACCACTGAAAACACTGCTACTCCTACTGCTCTCTCCTCGTCTGACCATGTGTTCTCGCATACCCCGAGAGCATCTGGTCAGAGGGGTGGTGGCACAGGAATCCTCATCTCTCCCAAGTGGACATTCTCAATTTTTCCCCTAACCCATCTGTCTATCTCCTCATTTGAATTCCATGCTGTCACAGTCACTAGCCCATTTAAGCTTAATATCCTTGTCATCTATCGCCCTCCAGGTTCCCTTGGAGAGTTCATCAATGAGCTTGACGCCTTGATAAGTTCCTTTCCTGAGGATGGCTCACCCCTCACAGTTTTGGGGGATTTCAACCTCCCTACGTCTACATTTGACTCATTTCTCTCTGCCTCCTTCTTTCCACTCCTCTCCTCTTTTTACCTCACCCTCTCACCGTCCCCCCCTACTCACAAGGCAGGCAATACGCTTGACCTCATCTTTACTAGATGCTGCTCTTCTACTAATCTCACTGCAACTCCCCTCCATGTCTCCGACCACTACTTTGTATCCTTTTCTCTCTCGCTCTCCTCCAACACTACTCACTCTGCCCCTACACAGATGGTAATGCGCCGCCGCAACCTTCGCTCTCTCTCTCCCACTACTCTCTCCTCTTCCATCCTATCATCTCTTCCCTCTGCTCAATCCTTCTCCCTCCAATCTCCTGATTCTGCCTCCTCAACCCTCCTCTCCTCCCTTTCTGCATCCTTTGACTCTCTGTGTCCCCTATCCTCCCGGCCGGCTCGGTCCTCCCCTCCAGCTCCGTGGCTTGATGACTCATTGTGAGCTCACAGAACAGAACTCCGGGCAGCGGAGCGGAAATGGAAGAAAACTAAACTCCCTGCCGACCTGGCATCTTTTCACTCCCTCCTCTCTACATTTTCTTCATCTGTTTCTGCTGCTAAGGCCACTTTCTACCACTCTAAATTCCAAGCATCTGCCTCTAACCCTAGGAAGCTATTTGCCACATTCTCCTCCCTGCTGAATCCTCCCCCCCTCCCCCCTCCCTCCTCTCTCTCTGTGGATGACTTCGTCAACCACTTTGAAAAGAAGGTTGACGACATCCGATCCTCGTTTGTTAAGTCTAATGACACTGCTGGTCCTGCTCACACTGCCCTACCCTATGCTTTGACTTCTTTCTCCCCTCTCTCTCCAGATAAAATCCTGCGACTTGTGACTGCAGGCCGCCCAACAACCTGCCCGCTTGACCCCATCCCCTCCTCTCTTCTCCAGACCATCTCCGGTGACCTTCTCCCCTACCTCACCTCGCTGATCAACTCATCCTTGACCGCTGGCTATGTCCCTTCCGTCTTCAAGAGAGCGGGAGTTGCACCCCTTCTCAAAAAACCAACACTCGATCCCACTGATGTCAACAACTACAGACCAGTATCCCTTCTTTCTTTTCTTTCCAAAACTATTGAGCGTGCCGTCTTTAGGCAACTCTCTTGCTATCTCTCTCAGAATGACCTTCTTGATCCAAACCAGTCAGGTTTCAGGACTGGTCATTCAACTGAGACTGCTCTTCTCTGTGTCACGGAGGCTCTCCGCACTGCTAAAGCTAACTCTCTCTCCTCTGCGCTTGTCCTTCTAGACCCGTCTGCTGCCTTTGATACTGTGAACCATCAGATCCTCCTCTCCACCCTCTCCGAGCTGGGCATCTCCGGCGCGGCTCACTCCTGGATTGCGTCCTACCTGACCGGTCGCTCCTACCAAGTGGCGTGGCGAGAAGCTGTCTCCGCACCACGTGCTCTCACCACTGGTGTCCCCCAGGGCTCAGTTCTAGGCCCTCTCCTATTCTCCCTATACACCAAGTCACTTGGCTCTGTCATATCCTCACATGGCCTCTCCTATCATTGCTACGCTGACGATACACAACTAATCTTCTCCTTTCCCCCTTCTGATAACCAGGTGGCGAATCGCATCTCTGCATGTCTGGCAGACATATCAGTATGGATGACGGATCACCACCTCAAGCTGAACCCTGGCAAGACGGAGCTGCTCTTCCTCCCGGGGAAGGACTGCCCGTTCCATGATCTCGCCATCACGGTTGACAACTCCGTTGTGTCCTCCTCCCAGAGTGCGAAGAGCCTTGGCGTGACCCTGGACAACACCCTGTCGTTCTCCGCTAACATCAAGGCGGTGACCCGATCCTGCAGGTTCATGCTCTACAACATTCGGAGAGTACGACCCTGCCTTACACAGGAAGCGGCACAGGTCCTAATCCAGGCACTTGTCATCTCCCGTCTGGATTACTGCAACTCGCTGTTGGCTGGGCTCCCTGCCTGTGCCATTAAACCCCTACAACTCATCCAGAATGCCGCAGCCCGTCTGGTGTTCAACCTTCCCAAGTTCTCTCACGTCACCCCGCTCCTCCGCACACTCCACTGGCTTCCAGTTGAAGCTCGCATCTGTTACAAGACCATGGTGCTTGCCTATGGAGCTGTGAGGGGATCGGCACCTCTGTACCTTCAGGCTCTGATCAGTCCCTACACCCAAACGAGGGCATTGCGTTCATCCACCTCTGGCCTGCTGGCTCCCCTTCCTCTGCGGAAGCATAGTTCCCGCTCAGCCCAGTCAAAACTGTTCGCTGCTCTGGCACCCCAATGGTGGAACAAGCTCCCTCACGACGCCAGGACAGCGGAGTCACTCACCACCTTCCGGAGACATTTGAAACCCCACCTCTTTAAGGAATACCTGGGATAGGATAAAGTAATCCTTCTACCCCCCCGCCAAAAAAAAAAAAAAAAAAAAAAAAAACATATTGTAAAGTGGTTATCCCACTGGCTATAGGGTGAATGCACCAATTTGTAAGTCGCTCTGCTTAATGACGTAAATGTAAATGTAAATGTTAAAAAACCTGCTGTATGTAAAATAGTGTTCTATAGCTTGGACAATAAATTTATGTGACTCTGGATGACAACACAATGATGTTTGTTTCCAACATTAGGGTTGTTTTCCTAAAGAAGTTAAATTAGCTTGGTGTTTTGTTTCGATACTGGTATCGTCCCCGGCCCTACTAGACGTGCACATTATGACTCCTATGTAAGGTGAAATGTCCTGTAGCACAGTCAATTGAACACATAGGACGAATTCTATTCTGTCCTTCAAAACAAAGACATCAAGTGAAAAAAAGAGAAGGAAACCATTAACCAGACGTCAGCCTTGAATGCTACGTGAGGTGGTGTTTGAAGCGACACTAATGTTAAAAGCAAACACTTCTCAGATTTAAGACTTGAGGGGATAGTTGATTAAGCAGAATGAACACAGGCCAAAGCAATACACACACACACACACACACACACGCACGCACACAGCAAGGTTGGAGTTGGGCACAGCACACTCTGCAAGCAGGCAGGGCATAATGCTATGCTTACCCTCCAGATTGGAATCAAGGTAAAAGATAGACTGGGAAGAAGCCTTCACCGCAGAGCCACCACCACCACCACCATGCCAACCCAAGCTGCTCTTACAACATTCTGATCGGTAAAGGATAAGAAATTAAGCAGATTCAATAGTCAGATGAATTAGCATGAGCATTCACTCTACAGGTAGTAAAGTATTAACACATCAATCACAGGGACTGGAGTGATTACGGAGTATAGGCCAAGTATTATCAATTGGATTATGTTCCTGATAAGTCCCATACAACAAGGGGCTACTGTAAAACCAACAGAAGAAACCATCCACCAAGAGAGACAACCCTCTCTCCTTTACCCTCTCTCATTTCCTTCTTTCTAAGCTTGGAGTCTGTGTGACTTCCTTACCCACAGTGAGCGCCTCAAACAGCCGGTGAATGGTTCCCTGGTCCTTGACAATCCCAGACTCCTGCACGTGCCTCACAAAGTCTTCCAACTGCATGTGCTTTTTCGGCAGCTGGAACCGCTTGACACCTTCGTCGTCATGGCGCGCCCGCTCCCTCTCATGGTCCCTCTTCACTCGACTAATCAGGCGTTTGATCTCGGGTCGGCGGTCAACCTGTGCCCGTTCGCCCTCCTGTAGAGAGTCCACCAGCGCGTTGACCAGCTCGCCAGGGAAGATGTCAGTGTCTGTCTTGTAGAGGTTCTGGAAGTCTTCCAGAGCATCCAGGCGTTTACCGGCCACGGTGTTGACGAAGCCCCGGAGGTAGTGGTAGCGGGCCAGGAGAGAGGAGTCCTCGGAGGCCGCCCCACTGATGGCCTTGCCCAGGAGGGTGATCATCTCCTGGTAGTAATTCTGGACGTAGTGGTAGGCCAGCGGAGGGGGGAACTCAGGAAGCTTGAAGGATCTCACTGGCCTCTGGGGAGACTTCATACCTATGGGGTTCCATCACAAAAGGTTTCAAGAACTAAGATCAGTGTTTCTTAGATGAAATCCATTCATTACAGAGGAACCCTTAAAAGAGCCAATCAGCAGTAGAAACAATAACAAAACTTCTCCCGACCACTGTTTCGGTAAAAAGCTGACGGACGGGGCTGGATATATTTTTTAATCACTCTCAAATTCAGAGACAGAGCTATGAATGCAAGGACCGACCATTCATGATATCCAAATTATAGTTTTAACCATGGTTTGAGGCTATACGGTGCTTGTTTACATTTACTTTGTTTACAAATATTGGAATAAAACAAGCTTATATTTTGGGTTCTGATGGGGTACGACAGTTAAACCAAGCTCATGAGGTATTTATAAGTTATATCAGGGGTGTCAAATCCGGCCCGAGGGTGGTTTGAGTAAACCACTTTAAATATACTTTAAAATGACTAAAACCAAATCGAAATGATAATGGACCTATTTTAATACAATTTCTTGACTGTCCAGCTCGCAATTAATCACTAGACAGTCAGGGAGCATTGAAAATTCCAAAAACGACTGATAGAAGACTATTTGTAGCAAGTTTTGACAGCAAGGAAATATAATATATTTTCAGTGTGGCCCTCCAGACCTCTGAAGAACGAGTGCGGCCCCCGGGCAGAATGAGTTTGACACCCCCGAGTTATATTCTTTGCCTGTCAATGGTAGTGGCAGAGAGGACGAGGCGAAGCAGGAGTTTTACTCCACCAAAATAAGCCCACGAAGTTCAGATTTTTTTTATGGAGATCAATGATTGTCGAATTTGGTCATCAAGAAATGTAATTGCTAATTTGCTATGCGAGGCTTATTTGATCTAATAGAAGTTTCGTAATGGTTAGGTTGTTACGAATACACTGATATAAAAGTGTGCCTGTTGTCATAGAGGTAGATAGAGGACTCATCATGGATATAACCCGTTTTAGCATGGTCATTGCCATTGAGGGCTTCCACCATTCCACCAAGTAGTCAACTGGGTGGGGATTCCTAGAAGTTGGGAGAAATCAGCCAATGAAGAGAATGTATTACTTTAAAATGCCCATGCTATCACAGACACTATAATGACACAGACACAAAGATGAGTCCTCTATTTATCTCTATGGCCTGTTGTTCACATGTGTATCTGCCCTCTCATTGGCTAGAAAGGTCCCACCTGATCTCGCCTCCTGCCTAGCATCCATCTTTGAGGACATGCATTTTCATTGTTAGAGCAGTCACTTGACTATCTTGTCAATATAATAGACAATTTTTGGTAGTGGTCAACTACAACAGGGTTTCTTAACTTAGATCCTGGGGTGGAACCACTGCGTATGCAGATCTTTACCTCAACCAATTAACACTCAATCTAATTGTTCAGAAATCACGAAATATAACTATTGGCATCAACAAGCACCATCCACCTGAACCTACCGCTGTCCACCTAAACCTCCCGCTGTCCACCTGAACCTACCGCTGTCCACCTAAACCTACCGCTGTCCACCTAAACCTACCGCTGTCCACCTGAACCTACCGCTGTCCACCTGAACCTACCGCTGTCCACCTGAACCTCCCGCTGTCCACCTAAACCTACCGCTGTCCACCTGAACCTACCGCTGTCCACCTGAACCTACCGCTGTCCACCTAAACCTACCGCTGTCCACCTAAACCTCCCGCTGTCCACCTAAACCTCCCGCTGTCCACCTAAACCTACCGCTGTCCACCTAAACCTACCGCTGTCCACCTAAACCTACCGCTGTCCACCTAAACCTACCGCTGTCCACCTAAACCTCCCGCTGTCCACCTAAACCTCCCGCTGTCCACCTGAACCTACCGCTGTCCACCTAAACCTCCCGCTGTCCACCTGAACCTACCGCTGTCCACCTAAACCTCCTGCTGTCCACCTAAACCTACCGCTGTCCACCTGAACCTACAACCTCCCGCTGTCCACCTGAACCTACAGCTGTCCACCTGAACCTACAACTGTCCACCTGAACCTACAGCTGTCCACCTGAACCTACCGCTGTCCACCTGTATCTTCTTGAAGGAGGTCTGCCTTAGGGGCCCCACCAGAGACCCCACACCCTCCTCCAGGTTGGGCAGGCTGGCCCCCAGCCTCTTGCTGAGCCGGCTCTCTGGGCTGGTGTATTTACGGGCCAGCTCCTGCATGGTGGGCCGCCGTGGAGACTCTGTCATGGACCTCAGCCTGGGGAAGAGGCCAGAGGTGGAGGGTGAAGTTGCCCCTAGATGCTGATCTTGCGTCAGTTTAGCATTTCCCCACTAATGGTTAAGGTTAGGATTGGGGGAGGGGAAGCTGATCCTAGATCTGCACCTAGGGGAAACGTCACCCCGGAGCGAGGACAGACATCAGGGGAAAGGCTGTGCTTATAGCAGGATGTGAATTTGAAGATACAGTACTGCACTGTTTACCAAACCTAGTCCTGGGAACCCAAAGGGGTGCACATTTTTGTTTTTGCCGTACCACTAACACACCTGATTCTAAGCAAAGGATTGATGAGGAGTTGATGAGTTGAATCAAGTGTGTTAGTGCTAGGGCAAAAACAAAACATTTAACCAAATTGAAATCCTATTGAAACTAATTCCATTTGCAAGGTCAAAATAAACTCTTACTAGTTTAAAAGGTAAATATTTATGCCAAACTCTCATCTTCCCTCTCACCTGTAAGCTTCTGTCCGAGTACTCAGCTCCATGCTTGTGAACGCGTCCATCTTCCTGTTCAGACGATCCCGTAGGAATGAGTGGAAGATGTGTGTGTCCAACACCTGCAAAGAAGACAAAATACACTGCATTCACTTCCAATTGGATCACATGCTGGACAGCAAATATTGCCCCAAACTTTGTAGGTTCAAAGTCAAACAGAGATTGACATCTCACTGAACAGACAGACCAGGATTTGTGTCATACCTTCTTGTAAAATGGCTGGTCTGCTGGCTCTCTAGACCTAAGGAACTCTTCACTGTTGAAGACTCTGTGCTCATAGTTGAGGTGATCGTGAACTTCTCTGTAGTGGTGGTTGGGGGGGTAATAATCACTAGATTAGCTTTCCTGTCCTGATATTTTACAGGAAATTGCTGTGATTTTGCACAGGGAATTGCAATTGTATTGGTTGTAATAAAGCAGGATTTAATATGATAACTAACAGCGTTAGATATGTATATCTAGATATGCTCAATTTGAGTCTCAATTATCAAAGTTACATAATTAAAGCATGTAAATTAGGTTATAATATTGTAACAACTATGTAATAATATTATTTTAATTATGTACAGTACATTTTAAGTCATAGTGAACGACAGTGAATAACAACACAGTATAGATTTGATGTGGTCCTCTGTAGCTCAGCTAGTAGAGCACGGCGCTTGTAACGCCAGGGTAGTGGGTTCGATCCCCGGGACCACCCATACACAAGAAAAAAAATTATGCACGCATGACTGTAAGTCGCTTTGGATAAAAGCATCTGCTAAATTATATTATTATTATATGCCTTTTGTCTCTTGCCAGGCAGTCATTGTAAATAAGAATTTGTTCTTAACTGACCTGCCCGGTAAAATAAAAGGTAAAATACAATTCTATAAATGATGCTGACCTGAATATGTTGACGATGAGTTCCAGAGTGATGTTCTGGATGTGTGTGTTGAGTTTCCTCTGCCACTGCTTCCTCTGGGCCCTCAGCTCGTTCACATCTGTACTGGCCCCCAGGTGACACACTTCCAGGTCATAGTGCACCTGAAGACCCTCCACCCTGCACACACACACACACACACTTAAAGGGGAGGGGTAACAAAACATTTTCTATTCCAATGCTCGACATGGTGAAATATTCTGAAAACATGTGGCACGCTTATCTGCATAAAATCCCTTCCCCTATTCATTACAATCCACATTGTAATATCTTAAGACAGCAGACTAACCAAGAGTCTTGTCCTCTAGGTCAAATTCATTAGGCACCAAACGAAAGAAAACAGACTGAAACGGGAAGGGACAGCCTGAACAGTACAATACGAAATGTTCATTTCCATTTTCTGTTGCAAAACATTTTGCTACGGCGAGCCCTAATGAACACGCCCCTGTCTCCTGTCCTACCGTGTTATAAAACACTCTCGGGCTGCCAGCGGGACATCCGGCAGGTCAACCCCATCAGACCAGGAAGACGACACGGTCCCATCATCAATATTAACCAGGATCAGATCATCCGTTTCCTGTCATGTAGGGAAAACACAGAAATACACAACACTGCCCCTCTTAGAGAATACAGTGTGACGGAGGAGAACAACGGATTAGGGCCAAGTCAAGTGGGTAAGCTAAAATGAACTTGACTCTTAACTCAGTGTCAGTTAGGACATTGAACCACATTATCCTCTGTACTGTGCACGCAAGTGGAAACTGATAATAAATCTTAATAAAGCATGATATATCTGTGTATTAAATAATAAATAAATCACTGATGCAAGAAAAATTGCCAGACTATTGTGTGAGTGCTCCTTACCGCGGCTACCTCCTTGTTGTGGTGCAGGTGGCAGCCCATGAGGTAAGGGAAGGTAAAAGAAGATGTACTTTATTGTCCATTAACTTACAGAGAATGGAAATGTGTCTTTATGCACAACCCAACCCCCAAAGACACACACACACACACACCTAGAGGGGCTGGAAAAATGAGTCAGCCACAGTGCAGTGCCCCTGGAGCAGTTATAGGTTGTTAAGTGCCTTGCTCAAGGCCCACTTATCTAACCACTAGGCTACCTGCCGCCCCAGGTTGAGGTCACTATCACTAACACAATTACCATCACTACAACCATCACCATCAATACCAGATCACGCTATTCTAGCATGGCCATGAAGTGAAAATCCATCCTTACCGCAGCCACCTCTTCATAGTGGTGCAGATGACAGCCCATGAGGTAGGCGGTGGGCGCCATGAGGAAGTCCAGCATCTGGCGTGAGAGGACGGGCACGAAGGGGTGCTGCCACACCAGGGGGTGGATGAAGAGCATCAGGCTCTCTGCCAGCAGGGTGAGCCGGGCCCAGTCACAGGAGAACAGTACTACCCTCTGCTCTGTCAACAGGCTGGTAATGATCTGAACAACACAAAGACACCGGCACGCAGGCACACACACACACACACACACACACACACGGTTACATTTATATCGAGACATACACGTCTTGTACCAATCCAAACAGGTAGACAGAAACATACTGTCCTCACTTGGAGGAGCTGTCGGGGTCTAAAGCACAGGAAAGGCAAATGGAGGTCCAGGTCAACAGCCGGCCGGTCCTTATCCTCCCGGGAGGGAAGCCCAATCTGGAGAGGCCTGAGGTTAAAGACCTGGGACAGGACAGAGGAACAACATGGATCATCAACAACACACAGATTATCCTGGTGTAACATTGCCAACTTAACAATACAAAATAATACATGACAATATAATCCATAAACATGATCTTGTCCTGTATGGCTCAGTTGGTAGAGCATGGCACTTTAAAAAAGCGTCTGCTAAATGGCATATAGTATCGCATATAGCACGGTTTAATAATGCACGTAAATCATAGAGCGGGATGGAGAGAGCGACAATTGGCTCACCACATGAAGTTGCCCAGGTGGGGGAATGGGCACCAGCGCCAGCTTGGCTGAAAACTCCTTCACCCTCTCCTCAAAGTCCCCCATCCAGCTGGGCTTGAGCTGGGTCAAGAGACTGAGCACACAGAGGACAGAGGGACGCCATACAGTAAAAACATTAACATTCAGGTCAATAGGTGCCTAAAGATGAGTTAACTGATCACTGATCATTGACACTTCATGATGATGGCCCACATCTGGCTGTATTTATTTTGATATCAGGTACTGTTTGGTATTCTCTTCCAGGATTTACTTGAACACAAAGACCTAGAGGAGTAAGACAACAGTGAATTGTTCTCACCATGACAGGCAGTCCCTGAGAGCGTTGTAGTAAGGGTATTTAGAGATGACACAGATACCATATGCCGTGTAGAGACGAGACGATTTGGAGGACGACCGATGGCCATTTTGGTGCCCAACATCCTGAAAGAACTGGGAAGCAAACAACCAATCGGAGATCAACGTTTTCCACAGTGACCAATGACCTGATGAGGATCTCTGGAACGGTGAAATGACTGTAGGCCTACTATGTCATATGTCCTTCTAACCAGGAGTGTCAAACTCATTCCATAGAGGTCCTAGTGTCTGCAGGTTTTTGGTTTTTCCTTTCAATTAAGACCTAGATAACCAGGTGAGGGGAGTTCCTTACTAATTAGTGACCTTAATTCATCAATCAAGTACAAGGGAGGAGTGAAAACCCGCAGACACTCGGCCCTCCGTGGAATGAGTTTGACATGTGTTCTAAACAGTACACAGGCAGGTAATACACATACCTACATTTTTTGTGCAGGTTGGCATTTATTGGGATGACTCGTGTACTGGAGGCAGCTCTGCAGGGTAGTCACTAGTTGGCACAGCCACAATGTCATAAAATCAGATTTTAAACCTAACCACACTGCTAACCTTATGCTGAGCCCTAACCGTAGCCTAATTTTTGTTTTCATGAATGTTTATGATACAGTGCATTTGGAAAGTATTCAGACCCCTTGACTTTTCACATTTTGTTATGTTACAGCCTAATAAAATTGATTTTAAAAAAAATTCTCTCATCAATCTACACATAATACCCCAGAATGACAAAGAATAAACAGTTTTTTTTAGATATTTTTGCAACTGTATTGAACATAAATACCTTATTTACATAAGTATTCAGACACTTTGCTATGAGACTTGAAATTGAGCTCAGGTGCATCCTGTTTCCATTGATCATCCTTGAGATATTTATATAACTTGACTGGAGTCCACCTGTGGTAAATTCCATTGATTGGACCTGATTTGGAAAGGCACACACCTGTCTATATAAGGTCCCACAGTTGACAGTGTATGTTAGAGCAAAAACCAAGCCATGAGGTCTTAGGCTTATTTTATTATTATGAGGTCGAAATAATTGTCTGTAGAGCTCCGAAACAGGATTGTGTTGAGGCACAGATCTGGGGAACGGTACCAAAACAATGGCCTCCATCATTCTTAAATGGAAGAAGTTTGGAACCACCAAGACTCTTCCTAGAGCTGGCCGCCCAGCCAAACTGAGCAATCGGGGGAGAAGGGCCATGGTCAGGGAGGTGACCAAGAACCCAATGGTCACTCTGACAGAGCTCCAGAGTTCTTCTGTGGAGATGGAAGAACCTTCCAGAAGGACAATCATCTCTGCAGCACTCCACAAATCAGGCCTTTATGGTAGAGTAGCCAGATGGAAGCCAATCCTCAGTAAAAGGACCACGACAGCCCGCTTGGAGTTTGCCAAAAGGCACCTAAAAGGACTCTGACCATGAGAAACAAGATTCTCTGGTCTGATGAAACCAAGATTGAACTCTTTGGCCTGAGTGCAAAGCGTCACGTCTGCAGGAAACCTGGCACCATCCCTACGGTGAAGCATGGTGGTGGCAGCATCACGCTGTGGGGATGTTTTTCAGCGGCAGGGACTGGGAGACTAGTCAGGATCGAGGGAAAGATGAACGGAGCAAAGTACAGAGAGATCCTTGATGCTCCAGAGTGCTCAGGACCTCAGACTGGGGCGAAGCTCCACCTTCCAACAGGACAATGACCCTAAGCCCACAGCCAAGACAACACAGGAGTGGCTTCGGGACAAGTCTCTGAATGTCCTTGAGTAGCCCGGACTTGAACCCAATCGAACAACTCTGGAGAGACCTGAAAATAGCTGTGTAGCGACGCTCCCCATCCAACCTAACAGATCTTGAGAGGATCTGCAGAGAAGAATGGGAGAAACTCCCCAAATACAGGTGTGCCAAGCTTGTAGCGTCATACCCAAGAAGAATCGAGGCTGTATTCCCTGCCAAAGGTGATTTAACAAAGTAATGAGTAAAGGGACTGAATACTTATGTAAATGTGATATTTCAGGTTATTTATTTATTTGCCCAAAAAATAGATACCTGTCATTATGGGGTATTGTGTGTAGATTGATGAGGAAAAAAACAATTTAATCAATTTTAGAATAAGGCTGTAACGTACCAAAATGTGGAAAGAGTCAAGGGGTCTGAATACTTTCCGAATGCACTGTATATAGCCAATTTTGACTTTGCAGCTGACCCATCTAGTGGAAATCAATCAGCTCTGCCTCCAGGACAAGATTCATGCCAATAAACGTCAACCAGCATTTTTTGTAGACTTCTACTTAGCAGTGAACAGGAAACATGTCCCTAAAATGCCTCAGATGTCCATGTTTATAATCAATCCATCTTTTGATGATCTAAACCTAGCTAATATAGGTAATGTAACAGTAAGCCCCTTTGTATAAACAACTTTTCAAGAATCCAAAGCATTCCAGTTGGCATGAATAAAGCTCAGCTGGTGAGCCGTCCCACCTGTATAGGCCTGTAGTACTGCACCACTACTGCATGTGTCCTGTTCCCAAAGACATCAGTAAACACCAGGTAATGGTATGAGTCTTCTCTCTGCTCGCTGGCTATCTGAAGACCACCTGATCAATGGAAGAAAACCGACACAAGATCTCATATAAGCATGACAAGAGGAATCACATCACTGCTTCATATATAGTCGTGTGTGATAATCAGAACGTAGATAATCAGCTCATACTGTAATGTGCCGTGTTTTGTCCTAATTTGATGGATATAATTTACTAGACAGGGATATCGTACAGTAATCAACATCTCAATAATAAGGTGTAATGGGACTTAGCTAGACAGCTAGTTTTCATCCATCCTTTCTAGCTATTACACTAGCATGGTTCTAGTTTAAATCAAAATGGTGACTTCTAGACATCACGCTGTGTCACCTGGGAAGCAGAGTTGAGGCAGGGCGATGAGGTCCAGGTCCTTGGGGACACTGATGTCCTCTGTGGTGGTGCCGCCCCCTCCATCGCAACCCTTGGCTGTCTCTCCGTTAGCTGTTCTAGCCCTCTCCTTCTTCTTCTTGATGAAGGAGCGCCTCCCCTGGACCCTGCGGAAGGCCGGGGCGTGACCCTGACCCTGGGTCTCGCTACTCGCACTCTCCTTGGTCACGAAGGGTGGGGCGTGAACCTGTAGTACCTCTGCCTCCAACAGGGGGAGCTCTTTGATTTTACCCTGCTGATGGGACTGGCAGGAAGGGGAAACATTTTCAATATCTAACATAACTTATATCATATATAGGGCTACATATGATGTGTATAAGTATGTTTCTTACATTTACATTTGAGTCATTTAGCGGACACTCTTATCCAGAGCGACTTACAGGAGGAATTAGGGTTAAATGACTTGCTCAAGGACACCAACAGATTTTTTACCTAGTCGGCTCCAGGATTCAAACCAGCGACCTTTCGGTTACTGGCCCAACGGTCTTAACCACTATACCAGTGTTCTTAGTATATGATTGATATGATGTGGTTGTAGCCTAAGCCCACAATAATCAATGTGTTGCAAAAACAACAGTGTATGTCCCCACCATGTGTTAGTCCATTGATTGAGTCAGCAGTACCTACCTGATGGAGTTCCCTGAGTTTATCGCTGGCTGCTCCAACCACCACACAAGCCTCCAGCAGTCCAGAGGGAATATCTGCCATCAGAGCCTAGAGGACAGCAGAGCTGGCCAGATACCACAGATAGACAGACACTACCAGGATGTCTGGTTACAGCATTGTCTTCTGTTCTGAGTCCGACAGGCTGCGTCACTCCTTCGTAACACTCCTCCTACACTACGTAAGATCAACCTAGTGTGGACAGTCTCACACTATCTGACGTAAAACAATGGTTTCTGTCTACAGTCCGTACATCCAGATTAGAGTCAGAATGATAGGTCTCCTGCTTCGTCCACCTCTTTCTTCACCTTTACAGGACCCGTCTGGACCAGAACCACCTAAAGGAAAGGCCCATTTCAGTAGAATCATCCAGACCATGGCTTCAGGTCTAGGAAATGACACAGACAGACAAAGACATGAGTCAGTTAGGTTAGTCATTCGATATGCCACTGAGATGCTTGCCTGCCGGCCTGGTAGTCACTACACCCCCACAAACATATTGTCATCCCACCAGATGTTGGGGCCTGATCACTCAGGCAGCTAACCACAAACAGATCATTAAAATATTTAACATGCATCTGAAGCCCAGGGGAGGAAAACAAGTAACCGTTGTTACCGTAACTTGCAAAAGATTTAACTGAAAGTCTAAACCTGATATTTCACTTAGATGCAAACCAGAACTGTTTAGATTTGAACCTCATATAAACCATCTAAGAAAGTGTTTCCCAAACTCGGTCCTCTGGACCCCAAGGGGTGCACATTTTGTTTTTTTCCTTACGCACTACACAAACAGATTCAAGCTTGATGATTAGTTGAATCAGCTGTGTAGTGCAAAAAACAAAACGTGCACCCCTTGGGGTCCCGAGGACAGAGTTTGAGAAACGCTGACCTAAGACATGTTTTCCCCATAACTTATCACTTTGCCTGCCTATTTTCCTCTGCTGTTGGCTATGGTAGAGAAGACATAGGCCTTCACTGATGACTCACTGATGTAGGTTCCATAAAGGAGCTGGGAGTGAAGATTTCTAGGTAGAGTTCTTCCTCAGAATAAATAACCGACGTTAAACATTCCTCTGCGGACTGTGTTCTGAAGCCTCAGATTGTAAATTACAATCTGTCTGAATTCTTCTGTCCACTTGAAGATGTCAGACAGATATAGCCTATATCAGTTATTTACACTGAGTGTACAAAACATTAAGAACACCTTCCTAATATTGTGTTGCATGTAGTGCTAGTAGTCTTTATTTAACATGTAAAGAATTACACTACTACTACAAAATTGGGGCTGTGTCATAAAAAAGCTCACAGCTTGAAATAGCTCACAATCCATTATTATTGTGAGGATTTTTACGCTTATGACTGGCTGTGATTGTGACGTCAAAGCGTGAAAACGCTCATCTTGAGAATTCTCACCGGTCAATTGCTCACGCTTCTGCCACAGAGTTTCTAAACCCAGAGGTGCAACATCGTGAGACTTCCGGGAACGCTAGCGAAACAGACCAATCAGATTGACCCATGATACATTTTCATGCTGTGATACAGCATGTGCTATAAGCGTGAAAAAGCTCACAGTCAATCATAAATCAGCCATTTCACCCTGTGAGCTTTTTTACTTGACAGGCGGCAGGTAGCCTCGAGTTTAGAGCGTTGGGCCAGTAACCGAAAGGTTGCGGTTTCGAATACCGGAGCTGACAAGGTGAAGAAAAATAAATAAATCTGTCCCTGTGCCCTTGAGCAAGGCACTTAACGCTAATTGCTCGAGGGCCGCTGTACAATGGCGACCCCGGCCGTGACCTCACTCCCTGCGGGTGTCTCAGTGGGAGTTGGGATATGCAAAAAAAGTAGTTTCCATTAGGGATGGGTATTTCAAATGTTTTGACTGTTTGAATAATACAAAATACTGAGGAAAAATGTGCGCATTTATCTATATGCTAATGGCGCACAATGCCTAATTTATCATAACCATTACAGATAATCAAGTTGTGGTGGCAGAATTTGGGGTAAACTGTTGTAACTTCAAGGTTTATGCTCTAATCTGTGATGAACTGAATTTCATAGACTCCTGTTATGTCTGCACCCTGACACAAGGCCATTGTGTTCTGGAACTGTTGCTTCTATCAAAATAACTTGTGTAACCAATATGATTGTATTATCACCTCCCACTATATAAAAAGGAACAGGTAACCACTTGTACTTATATTTTCTTCCCTGGCTTCGCCCAGAGACAGAGCTCCCCTGCAGCTGCTTGATTAAATATTATTATTATTATTATTATACTTTAATAGTCTCTGCCTAATCTTTTGGATCAAATTTTAAAACAACAAACAGCATATACAGTGCATTCGGAAAGTATTCAGACCACTTCCCTTTTTCCACATTGTTAAGTTACAGCCTTATTCTAAAATGGATTAAATAAAAACAAAATCTCAAATCACACACACACAATACCCCATAATGACAAAGCGAAAACAGGTTTAGACATTTTTGCTAATGTATTAAGAATAAAAAACAGAAATAAATACCTTATTTACATAAGTATTCAGAACCTTTGCTATTAGACTCGAAATTGAGCTCAGGTGCATCCTGTTTCCACTGATCATCCTTGAAATGTTTCTACAACTTGATTGAAGTCCACCTGTGGTAAATTCAATTGATTGGACCTGATTTGGAAAGGCACACACACCTGTCTATATAAGGTCCCACAGTTGACAGTGCATGTCAGAGCAAAAACCAAGCCATGAGGTCGAAATAATTGTCTGTAGAGCTCCGAAACAGGATTGTGTTGAGGCACAGATCTGGGGAAGGGTACCAAAACATTTCTGCAGTATTGAAGAGAACACGGTGGCCTCCATCATTCTTAAATGGAAGAAGTTTGGAACCATCAAGACTCTTCCTAGAGCTGGCCGCCCAGCCAAACTGAGCAATCGGGGGAGAAGGGCCTTGGTCAGGGAGGTGACCAAGAACCCGATGGTCACTCTGACAGAGCTCCAGAGTTCCTCTGTGGAGATAGGAAAACCTTCCAGAAGGACAACCATCTCTGTAGCACTCCACCAATCAGGCCTTTATGGTAGAGTGGCCAGACGGAAGCCACTCCTCAGCAAAAGGCAGATGACAGCCCGCTTGGATTTTGCCAAAAGGCACCTAAAGGACTCTCAGACCATGAGAAACAAGATTCTCTGGTCTGATGAAACCAAGATTGAACTCTTTGGCCTGAATGCCAAGCGTCACATCTGGAGGAAACCTGGCACTATCCCTACGGTGAAGCATGGTGGTGGCAGCATCATGCTGTGGGGATGTTTTTCAGCAGCAGGGACTGGGAGACTAGTCAGGATCGAGGGATAGATGAACGGAGAAAAGTACAGAGAGATCCTTGATGCTCCAGAGCACTCAGGACCTCATTCTGGGGGCGAAGGTTCACCTTCCAACAGGACAACGACCCTAAGCACACAGCCAAGACAACGTATCAGTGGCTTTGGGACAAGTCTCTGAATGTCCTTGAGTGGCCCAGCCAGAGCCCGGACTTGAACCCGATCAAGCATCTCTGGAGAGACCTGAAAATAGCTGTGCAGCGACGCTCCCCCTCCAACGTGACAGAGTTCGAGAGGATCTGCAGAGAAGAATGGGATAAACTCCCCAAATACAGGTGTGCAAAGCTTGTAGCGTCATACCCAAGAAGACTCAAGGTTGTAATCGCTGCCAAAGGTGCTTCAACAAAAGTACAGAGTAAAGGGTCTATATACTTATGTAAATGTGATATTTCAGTTGTTGCTTTGTCATTATGGGGTATTGTGTGTAGATTGATGAGGGGAAAAAACAATTTTATCCATTTTAGAATAAGGCTGTAACGTAACAAAATTTTGAAAATGTCAAGGGGTCTGAATACTTTCCGAATGCACTGTGTGTGTACAGTACCAGTCAAAAGTTTTATATTTGAGATTCTTCAAAGTAGCCACCCTTTGCCTTGATGACAGCTTTGCACACTTGGCAAAGGGTGGCTACTTTGAAGAATCTCAAATATTTTATTTCAACACAATGTTTTGCAATGGAGGTCTACAGTAGCCTCAACAGCAAACCGTAGGGTAGCACCATGGTGTAGCCGGAGGACAGCTAGCTTCCGTCCTCCTCTGGGTACATTGACTTCAATACAAAACCTAGGAGGCTCATGGTTCTCACCCCCTTCCATAGACTTACACAGTAATTATGACAACTTCCGGAGGACATCCTCCAACTTATCAGAGCTCTTGCAGCATGAACTGACATATCTACCCAATCAAAGGATCAGAGAATGAATCTATTACTGAAAGCATAAACAGCTAGCTAGCACTGCAGTGCATAAAATGCGGTGAGTAGTTGACTTGAGAGAAAGACAATAGTTGAACAGTTATGAACAAATGTCTTCAAAAATGAAGGAGAAGCAAGAGAAAGATTGAAAGTGAAAGAAAATGAGTTTCACTTACTTAGCTAGCAAATGCAGCTAACTAGTTCAGCATACTCAAAACACCCTGCTCAAACAGAGGGATGCTATGTTAGCTAGCTGGCTATGACTATCCAACACAACACTGGAACTCTTCCAAGTCAAGGTAAGCTTTTGGTTTTACTAATTTATTGCCACCGGGGCCCGCCAGTGTAACTGCTAAACTGCTAACTGACTGTACACTGTAAAGTTACTGCATGCTTGTAGCGGGTTTCCTAACGCCTTAGTTCTATTAGCTACAGTTAAAGTCGAAAGTTTACATATACATAGGTTGGAGTCATTAAAACTCATTTTTCAACCACTCCACAAGTGTCTTGTTAACAAACTATAGTTTTGGCAAGTCGGTTAGGAGATCTACTTTGGGCATGACACGTCATTTTTCCAACAATTGTTTACAGACAGATTATTTCACTTATAATTCACTGTATCACAATTCTAGTGGGTCAAAGGTTTACATTCACTAAGTTGACTGTGCCTTTAAACAGCTTGGAAAATTCCAGAAAATGATGTCATGGCTTTAGAAGCTTCTGATAGGCTAATTGACATAATTTGAGTCAATTGGAGGTGTACCTGTGGATGTATTTCAAGGCCTACCTTCTAACTCAGTGCCTCTTTGCTTGAC